CCCCCCCCCCCAAAAAAAACAAACACATTCTAAAGCTTTTTTATAATGTCAACATTTCATCTGCTTAGAACACTTTCCAGCTTTCACAGCTGTTCAAAGTGCCTACAAGCCTTTGCCTGCCTACTGATGATGTGTAGAAAGTAACGCAGTATGTAACCTGGCTGATTCCCAGAGTTGAACAGATGTCAGATGTGCAGATGTGCATGAGTTTGTTGCTATTATTAGCAGTCAGAGCAGTGGGGGAAGTGTCCCTGCTTTTGTATCTCTGTCTGTGTGCTAATGAATGTCTTGGTAGTCATGTAAAGTGACAGATTATGTATTTTCCCATACTATTTATTTGTGATACCATGTATTTGTCCTGTGTGTGCGTGCGAGTGTGTCGATACCAATACAGTCGGTGCAATCCGTATCGGTAAATCTATAATGATCAGGTGATTTTTTTCTCTCGTCTCTGGGGAATCGCCTTTATCCGTGTCTCAGTGGTTGCATAACCTGTGTTTTTTTTTGACTGACATTAAGGATCAGTCAGGGATAACCTATGAGACTGTCACTGAATCTAATGGTATGAAGGTTTATGAAAATCCTTACAATAATACAGAGACCCAATTATTTTAATACCCACATGTCCCTGTAGGTCACATTATGGCTGATGGCTCTTTTGGCAGTAGTATTTTCCCCAAGCAAGCACAACATGATACACTAAATAAGAAATAAACCCTAAATTAGAATAATACACTATGAGTTATACACTAGGCTAGCAAAATGTCGAGGGAACCAAAGACAGGAAATCCATGTTTTGTGGGCATGAACCCTTGGATACTTTTACATCCACACTTTATTCATATCAGATCAGCTGTGATATGTACTTTTCCTCTCTGTTTTATGCTAGTCGCAGGAGCCCATGGGGTTTTGGACAGCTCAGACTCAGCCATTCTTGCTCAGGAACTTGAACCCTATTTGAGGTGAGCAATGCAAAGCTTCTTTATGTGCTTGGCGGGGGGTGCAGACATACAACTATTATGCCCTTTTTTTTTATCCTCTTCTCATGAATTCCACACTTGAATAAATTCCACTCTTACAGCTCCACTTGTGGGAATTAAGGATCTGTCTTTTTCCTGGATTAAAGCTGTTAGTGTCAAACAAACAAATATAGAAATCCTACAAATCGAACATTGAGTATATTGATGAAGCTGACATTCTTTCAAAATAAGTTCATGAAATATGAGATACTTTCCAATAGAGATAAAGTCTTAAAACCTTGTAATCACTTTAGATGAGACACAAAAACATATTTAATACTTGAAGCAGTCACTCTTTAAGTGCAGATGCAGTGTTACAAGAGAGACAAAACAAACAAACCAAAAAAAAAAGAGACTTGCACACAACATCCCTTTTTCCTAACCCCTCCCACACTCCCATGACCTTACATCGTGTCACTCAAAGTGACACGATGTCACTCATCGATATTGTACACAATATGTTCTTCTCTTGACACCCAGGAAAGAATGAATCATACTCAGGCCATTACAAGGATAATCCACATGGCTGATGTATCATGCTATCTTTATCACTGGGCCAGGGGATAAAGACAAGTACAGATGAAGCACAATGCAGAGCAGCTTAGCTGCTGGGCATAAGGATAGATGGAAGGATGACGTTTCTCTCTGCTGCTCACCGCCAGTGCCGCGCCCAGTCTATCTGATATTACATAAAACAGCTTAGGAGGATGCAGCTTGATTCACTCACTCTATGTTAAGTCAATCCGCTGGGAATATGATGTCGCTGGATATACATTTAAAGACATCATCAAATATTCCATTTCACTCAAACAGATGGTGATATAGCCTAGTAGTCGAATCACATTCACTCTATCTGTTCCCTTGCTGTTTTTCATCACGTAAATTATTTATTTATTTTCTAATTTGCATCTTCCTCCTCATCGTCAGGTCACTTCTTGTAATCAGTGACGAGCTTCCTCTGAGCCCGAGACATGAGCAAGCCAAGCTTCTTCTGGAGCGGGCACGACTCAAGGCCCGCTCCAATCACACTAAAGGCGATCGCCCCGGCAGACGCTCGCATTCTGATCAGAGATCCACCGTGTAAGTTGGCTACATCTACTCACCGTATCTATGACCGTGGGTATGAATCAGTGTTGTGATAACCAGTTTCATTTTGGCAAAGCTGGTGTGTGCTAACTGAAAATGAGGTGAAGCTTTGCAACTTGACCGTTCTTTGTAATTTCAAACACTGAGCTGACAATGGTGAGAAAGTGTTTGGTGTGGTTCTGCTCATGAAATAGTGTATACATCAGAGTTTTGTTTGCAGTAATCGCCTTATTTCTGCAGGAGAATTAGGAGTATTTGCATCGGATCCTGCATTCAAGATTGCACAGCAAACCTATACCTGTAGCCACTACATGTACTGGATGTCTCATTGCAATGTATTGTGTCATTTGTTTAATTAATCACCAAAAAATCGCTTATTTTGAAGAAGTTTTATCTACGTGGGCTGTTGCTGTGAGATGGCTGACATTCAATTTCACTTACACAAGTGTAGCTCTCTTATAGACAAAATATGTTTCTTTAATATGCACTGCTTTGTCATTTCTTGCAGAAGGAAGCAGCAAATTGAGTCTCCAATTCCAACACGTGCACAGAAAGCCGTTCAAACCAAAGAAGATCATGCAGCTCAAACTGTATCTGGTCCCCTTCTTATCCCCAACCAAGACACTTCCCCGGGTGACCAAGTTGGTCGTTCTAGACGGTATGGTTGTTCACCCACACGGGTGCGCTTTGAGGACGAATCGGAGAAAGAAGCAGAGTCTCGATACTTGGATAGAGTGAAGCAGCGTAGCAGGTCTGGGATTCCCAAGTCCAAGAGTAAAGGAAGCAATACGGATTCTAGCAGTAGTGGTTCAGAGATGACCAGAAAGAATCGAAGTGTCTCCGTGCCTCCTTCACAGAAGAAAGAAGTTGTGGGTGAACCCACAACAGTGATTAAAGAGATAATAGTGCTGGTGAAGAAATGTGAGGCATGTGGCTCTGTAGTCAAGGAGCCTCAGCCAGTCTCATCACCGTCAGAGCCAAAGAACACTGAGCCACAGCAGCCTGAGGACCCACGGGAAAAAGCGGCTCCTCGCTGGGTGCCTCACAACAAGCCAGAGGCAAGTACTCGTCCTAAAGCTCCTCTAACTGTCACGTTTGCAGGAGCGTTTGTGCTGGGGGGAAATAAAGAGAGCAACACAGGGTGGAAACCATCCGGGTTTGGGAAACTTAGGAGAAGGAGCAGGAAAGGAGAGAGTCGGCTGGAGTCGGGCCATGGCCCTTACGGTCCCTCTTGGGCTCAACGCCGTAACTCAAATCCCAGGAACAGGGTCAACTTGGGCAGAGCGGTTTCCTTTGCCCCAGACAGCCCCGTCGCTCTGGAACCCGGTTTGCTGGAGGCATCTGATGGATTGAGAGAATCACCTCCCCCATCGCTGCCTATAAAGTCAGCCCTGAAGTCAAGTTCAAGGAATCGCTCTGCTGCAGGTCAGTCCACGGTTCAGTTCCAGATTACCTCAAATCAGGGAGGTGAGGGAGGATCCCAGCATTCTGCCCTCCTGGACTCTCCAGAGGCAAGAAGGGAATGTGCAGTGGCTTTAACCCTAGGGACCCCAGCAACAAGCATCCCAGTGCCCTGTATCAGGCCCTCCACCCTGAGGTACTCCCCAGCCCGGCTCACCACTGACCTAACAACTGCTGAACTCTGGGATGCCACTTCAGATGGAGCAGGTGAGTGGTTATTGGGGATGAGCAGAGTCATAGGTATATTTCAGTTCCTCTGGAGGGTCGTGTAGAGAGTTCAGGGCCTTTTCTATTTACGTGACGTGACATAGAATGATACTGTTCTTTCTTATGGGAGGATTTACTATTCTGGAAAAGCAGTGGTAGAAGAAGTACTCTCTTCTTAAGTGGCAATACCACCATAAAAGTACTGTTTTCTAATAATATTGTAAAAGGTCCTGCATTCAATTTATTATTATTATCAAAATGTTCAGTGTAAAAAATGTAATCATTACGCAAAATAGATTCTTGCATTTTAATATACATATTCTGTTTTGGGATTATTTTTCCCAATGAATATATGTACAGTATATGTAATGCTCATCAAGTAAAGTACCAGTGCCTTAAAAATTGCACTCTGCAGTACTTGAGTACTTGTTCCATTAGGCCTCCAAACACTCCAACAAACACTCTAACTCGTCACATTCTGACGCTTTGTCAGACCACCTGGCATCACTTTCTAACTCACTGGGGTGCACGGTCGCACGTGGTCAACGCTGTGAAAACACTCACTTAAGTTTAGGCAACAAACCACTTGGATAGGTTTTGGGAAAACATCATGGTTGGGATTGAAATAAGTATGTAAACTAAGTAAAACGTAAACATACACTAGTAGCTAATGCAGCTAATAGCGCTAACAGTAGCTACCAACTACGGCAAACGTGTCGACAAGGAGAGTGGGTGCTACCCTTCTGCAACGAAGCAGGAGGTCAAGACGGCATGTCAGCTGTAACCACCATATGAGAGAAGTACAGAGTGGCGGCTGTGAGCGAGCCTGTGAGGCACGATCACATGCACGAACATGCACTAAAGGCCTGCGCGGCCGGCCCGGCTATCTAAAGAAAGCAAGAAAAAGCTGGGATAACAACACACACAGAGGGAGCGTGACTTCGTTCTCTGCTCAGGTAGACATTACTCCACTATATCGATACATAGATAATAGCTGTTTGCTGCTTCATTAATGCTCTGAATGTCATATACTGCTCCTTTAATCTACGTCATCACACTCCCGGAGCATTTTCTCTGAGCTAATAATAACAGGGTTTACAATGTAGTTACTTGAAAGCCCGGTTCGTCTCATACAGATGCTAAGAGGTTGTGCTTGTATCAGACAAAACATCAGTATTTGATGGACACGAAATTTGTTTATCAAGTTCACATAATATAATTTACAATTTTGCATAATAGAGTCGAATAGAATAGAACAAAAATAATGAACAGACCAGAACAAAAAAACTATTTGAGAAGGAGTTTTGATATCCACTCAGTACATCCTTTTCTATCAGGTGAACCTGGTTCTGGTCCTGAGTGTCGTCCTGCTCTACGCGGCATGTCTCGGGCTGAGGACCTCAGAGCCGAGCTGCTGAGAGCAGAACATCTGAGAGCTGAGGCCATATGGGAGGAAAACTCTGACGGGTCCAGGTAAGCCAAGATAACGACGCTCCTCGTAGCTTAGACATTAAATCCTTTGCCCCCTTCATGCTGTTCCCAAAACGGCTTGAGCGTGCCAGATTGGTAGCAGTTAGAAGATTAAAACCCTGACCCTGGATGTTGTTATTAAACTGTTCTGTGAACATCAAGACAACCCTGCCCTCTTCTGGTAATAAAGACCCATACTTGTAAAGGCCATTTACAGCAGAATGATAACACTCTATAAGCAAAATCATCGAAAAGCTTTTTCCCTGGCTTGTTCATCAGTGGTTTAGTTGGGAATGTAATTATATATTAATACATTTTAAGTCTATATTACAGTAAACAATGAATATACAATCTATAACTTATCTTTTACAGAAAGCTGGATGGCCGGCCAAAGCTCTTCCTCCGTCGCTTTTTTTCCTCCATTGGTCTGAACAGCGTTGGTAGACTAGTGAAAGGAGGCCGCTCCAGCAGCATGGAACAGCTCAGTATACCCACCGCCCCGCGGGTCAACTCTGCTTCCCCAAGCCCCACACGCAGGCCACAGCCAGCCATCCGCATGCAGAGGACACCCTCACTGCAAACCCTCCACACGGTGAGCAAAGAGCAGCAAACATTTTTCATGCCACGTTGTTATGTTTTGTTCAGGACTGCTTTGCTGCTCTGCACATCGCCTTTTATTTTATTTCACCACATCAAAAAGATGTGGGAGAAAACATCTTACTCATTTGCCACAGTGGACCAAACCAAGGCTTTTCAGTATTACTGACCTTTCTGCCTGTAAGGATGATGCATTCCAGGTTGTCCATGTTTCCTTCCACTTCCTGTGGTAGCCATCCTTGTTTTCCTTTTGGCAGCTGTAAGACTAGACTAAGCAGATGTAAACAACTCTCTGTGCCAGCCAATCACAGCCTGTATTTGCATTATGTGTGGGAGCTGCCAAACACAAACACTTAGTTAGTTTTAGAGGGGTCTTAGAGCCAAAAAGTTACTCTTCCAAAAGCCAATCTGCTGAATGTGAAAAACACAATTTGTGACAGTGCCATTTATTTGCCACTAGGTGCTGCCACTGGCCCAACTGCGCAAAGCCTCCTCAGTGCAGAGTTTAGAGAGAAGAACAGAACGTTCAACAATACTGGGAGAGGTGCAGATACCATACGGCCTGGCACCAAGGTAAGTGGCATAGAAAACTAAAGTAGTAAGAAAGACAGAGATGAATAAAAAAAAAAACAAATTCTGCATTGTTTTACTTCATACGTTTTCTAATGACGGGATCTGAATTTCTGCAGCTACAGCCCCGATAGCCCTCAGCTCGAGCTTCACAGGGCCCTGAGTGTTGAAGATGTACGTACCTCCAGAATTGCGCGTCCAGTGGGCCGGGTCATGCAGGCTTTCCCTGACGGGACCCTCCTCCTGGAGCTCGTCAGACCCCCAAATGGCCCCTTTGGTTTCGTCATCTCAAGGGGCAAAGGTCGACCGGACACGGGTAACTTTCTTTAATCCACATCGTCTTTGTACCGTCTTAAATGAGGAGCTTGGTTTTGGAGATATCTCCATTCAGTGGTGACTTTATTGCCTTTGCTAACTGCCAGACTGTTTTTGTATCTTGAAAACAGAATAGACATTAGAAGAGAAAGAGAATAGAATTGAAATGTCATTATTCAGATGTTAAAATGTTAAATTGGTAATCAAACATCATGCTTTTACTAATGGTAAATCTGTTATGTTATTTATTACAATATTGCGTATAGGCCTATATGTTGTGTATGGTCCCGTAAACACAAAGGAATCCTCTATCTCCTCTTTTCCTCAATTAAAATTCTACATTTCTCCCTCCGTTCTCACACAATCCAACCATTCCTTCACCTTTATGTGTCTTTGCCTCTTGTTGTTTCCTTCCCAGGTGTGTATGTAGAGAAAGTGGGTGACGGTGGTGGGGAAGGCCCTTACATGGGTCTACTCGGCATCGGTGATGAAATTCTGCAGGTGAATGGAGAGGCAGTGGCTGGACTCAGTCTGGACCATGTGACGCGGCTCATGACCCGGGAAAGCACCGCTTCTCTCCGGATCATTCCGGCCCGACGCAACCAGCGCTGACTGGCACGGAGCCATTTCTCCTGCAGCCGTGGATTATAATTCACCACTGCAAACAGCACTGATGTACTGTAGCATATGGTGGATAACCAGTGTGTATTTCAGTGCAGTTTTACATCTGAGAATGGCTACATGAGATTACAGTGTTAGAGGTTCATATGTTGTAAAACAGTATGACACTGCAAGGGATTTGGATTACAATGACAAATCAATAAAATAACCAAATGACAAATCTATCACAAAATACATCCAGTAGAGAGGAGTCATTAGCTAGACACTATATTTCAGAGTATATATTGTGATACTTATAAAATGGTAATTTTATAAATACTTGATTCAACTCCAGCACAACTTGTTTCTGCACATATTTCTGCACATATGTTTTGGTCAGACTTAGCAGACTCCCTTCATTCACAACATATCTGAATTTTAACCAAATCTTAAAACTATTCACAAAATAAAGAGAAATGGGATGACAGCATTTATTTTTACTTAAGTATTTGAGAACATTAAAAAACTGCAACAACTTCCTTTTTGTCATGTTCAAAGTGTGATTTATTTGAACACCCTAAATGACCCTTGAGTACAACCATATTTTGTTGCATTTTTTAAATGTTCCCATTAATCTAATTGATTATTTCAGATGATTCACTTGATGAAGGATGTGCCACAAATGTAATCTTGGCCCATGAGACCCTAAAACTAAAGAGCTATTTATTGAAAATAAAGTGCCCTCCACTGAACTGCAACTGCATCACAAATTACGTTTAAACATAAAAGCAATTAATTATCTCTTTGTTTTTCAACGGATCATACTGTATTTCCCTGGGGCTCTGCAGGATCCCTTCCTTCATTTTACATGTGCTGTATCACACATTGCTTCAGGAAACCGATACTTGTTTTCTTTAAAATAAAAACGTTTTATTAACTTGTGTAACTCATGAATTATGCACAAAACATGATATCACATTATATCCATTCAGTTGGATGCATGAGCATATTTGAAACATTTAAATTGAGAGTATTCCAAACATGAATTAGGAACATAAGTCGTCTTCTCAATTTGACAGTAAAACCCCAAATACTTAAATCAGCCTCAATTAAATCAATTAGGCCTATTGATTTGCACATTTTAGATAATTACAATGGACCTAAAGTCGTGCCTAGTGCTCCCCAGCAACAAAACGCTTGGCACATTTGAGGTTTCCCTACAAGATGCTTATAAAAAAAGTTAAAAGGGATTATGTGAGGCTGAGCAGGATGCAGGAAGATGGTCGTGACTGCTGCTTCAACAGGTCTGTTTAAAGGTCGTGACTAATTGTAGAGCTCGCTATTTTTGCACTGGGCTTATTTCAATATATGTGGTTCTATCTAATGTCGCAATTTGCACTGTACTTTGCCATGTTACGAGTTTATCTGACTAAATGTATGCGATTATTTAAATTCATAAATGTATTTGACTAAAAGAGAAGAAAAAAAAACTGTGTGGAAAATCCGTTATTAGGATGTACCTGCTACCGTTTAGGTTGTCCTGAACGTGGTCTGATATCGTGCTGCTCTTGTATCTGATGCCACCAGGAGCCGATACGCTTTTATCTCTCCCAGCCATGAGTGCCCACGGGCCCGGGGAACCGCCGTCCAAGACCCCCAACACAAACACTGACATGCAACAGCACATTCCGGCCTATTCAATTGTACATTTATTGATTGGTTAATTGATAAAGAATTGTGTCCCGTTCGAATACGGCATCGTTATCATAATTACTCGCTCTTCATTTGAGCAATCTATTGTATCACTAGCACATCCAGCCTCAAGGCGCAGGAATGGATATGGATTAATGGATATACTCTTTTTTTTTTGGGTAAAATGAAAATAAAAAAGACACGACCCTCTGCTATCATCAGTTATCTTATTGCAGGATAAATTGGCTTAGCAGAAACTCCTTTGTTGAAATTATAAATAGGTCAACAGCTTAACCTGAGCTTTTGTTTCTTTCATCAAAAAAATTAAAACACCTCCAAATAGCTCAGGCTACAGTGTACCTCACGTTGTTACAGGCCGTTGCGCTATGCCTGTTTGCTTTTTTTTAATGCTTTGCCCTCCACAAGCCTATATAGCCCACGACAGCCAAATAATAATGAATCATTTCATAAATAATGGGTTTAGGGGCTTATCGGGAATGAAGAGGCCGCTGCCGTGCGCTTATCTCACTCGGCCACATTGCGGCCTGTGTTCCGCTCCCCATACTGAGGCAGCGCACTGGATGCAGCGAGGAATAACTCAGCTGCACACACACACACACACACACACACACACACACACACACACACATACACACACACACACACACTGCTCCACAACTGGCAGAAAAAAAAGAAAAAAAACTCAGACATGGATGACCCACTCACAAAATGGCTCCACTTACACAGTAACATCAACAACACGACTGGAACGGTAAGTGCATAAAAAAATACACCTCTTTATTTAAACCAACGTATTCGTTGTTCCTAAAGGTTGTAATTGGACTGCTATCGTCTGCATTTTATCGGTGCTATGTGCATTTGTTTCAGCCTATATTTTCCGCTATTGTCCGATCGGATGGTTGAGACTATACGGGATGTAATAACGGATGCGAGGCCTATTGGAGAATTCCCAGAAATAAAAGTGCGCTTTTTTTATCGGCGGTCTTGTGTTCCGTTTATAATAATATTCCTTGTACATTAATCGAGTTACGTGTACTAAAACCCCTAACGCTGGTGTGTAGTGTATAACATATGACAAGCCTTTGATGTTTGGCTTTAACAACAGCACCACGGCCTACACCGCCATAAAACGAGAATCACAACATGCACCTCTGACATGTGTGGCTATGAAAATGATCAGGTCAAACTGTTTTTGGAGGTTGTTTAATTTCATTAACTGAAGACGAGAAAAAATTAGGGATTTTATTTTGACAAAGAATGGATACCAAGCTCTCTTCGTGGTCCTGTCATTCAATTTCTCTATAAGACGATAATGTCACCTCTAAATCAACAGCAGCCGACATCATTTTTTCAAATATTCGAATATGACTTCATGTCGAGCTCAAACGTCGGTTTAAATACATTAAGATATTAGCTGAACGTTATGCCCAAGCAAGCATTAGATACGAAGATGTATTAAAAGGGGGGGAAAAAAACATGCAATGCAGAAACCACAAGACAAAGCTCTTTGTAAACAACAAGTGAACATTTGAAAAATATCCCTGGCTTGAAATAAATGTTTAACTGGGGCAAATTCATAATTATAAGGAATGTATCACATCCCAGCAGGTTTAACTTAAAGAAAAGCTTCACCAACAGCTCACAAAAATGACAAAATCCTCGAAAATTAAAACGTTTTTAAATTGAGATCTCATAAAGAATTAGTGTTATCGTCCATTGTGGCAAAATTGTCTGCAATCGAGTTTTAATTTTTAATTTTCGTTTTAAATATTGTGCTAAATGTAGTAATTAAGAAAAAGAAGGAATCTAGCAAGCAACTATAGCATTCACTGCTCTTTGACTATTTGTTTTGTTGGAAACGTTAAGTCTGTAATTGATAATATTTATATAACTATAATAATAAGAACATTTAATCATAATCTAAATGCCAATAATAATAACAATGATAATGGATTGTTAAATTCCCATGGGCTTCCATATAGGAAGCAAACGCTTTGTTATTCATCTGGCAGCTACATAGAGACTGTCACACATTATTTTGAGCAATACATTAATGGAGGAAAATCTTATTTAGGACCTAGTGGACTCGAGCGAGTGGTGACCGTATAAAAATGATGGAAAAACGGCAGCCGGAGCTTCGTCCTGGAAGTCCCGATGAAGAGTCCGGTCCTGAAAAGCGAGAGGACTCCTCCATCATCTCCAGACTGAACGGATGCAAGGAGGAAGAGGAGCCGAGGAGAGAGGAGGGGGAGAAGGGGAGGGGAGGGAGCTTCAAGGGGGTTGAGGAGAGGGATGACGTTCCTCTGCAGAACTCGAGCAACGGGACCAGCATCAGCATCATCATCAACGGCGTTGCCAAGGAAACTGCCTCTCACAACGCCCTTGACCTGAAAAGGGAAGTGCCGGTGATCGAGCTCTCCAGGAGGGACGCTATAAAAGTGGTGGAGCAGAGGACAGAAAGCCATTTGGTGCCGATCACGGAACTTCGCAGACCTCCACCGCTGCCGCTGCCGCCGCCGCAACGAGACGACGCTCGAATGGTCCAACTGAGCCCAAACGCGTTTCCTGTCCCGGCCCGGGCCATGCTCTACAACCTGGCGCAGCCTCTCGCCGCCATCAACAGGTAAAGGTGGAGAAAGAAAAATAAATATCGTGTAGTTTCAGGAATGCACGTTTTCATTTGATCATTGTAAGTGTTCACCATAAGTTTGACGGCTGCTATGTTGCCCTGTGGCCCAGGAATAGGCTTCTACAGTGTCCGAAATATGCTTGTAGTGTATTCAATATGTTGACATTATTTAGTATGTGCAGTAATGACGGAGAATTATCCTATACGTGTGTGTGTGTGTGTGTGTGTGTGTGTGTGAGTGTGTGTGTGTGTGTGAGAGAGTATGTGTGTGCTACTGGTGCAAGGAGTGGGGGTTGTTGAGGGTTAGATGCAATGAAGGCAATGATGTAAATTCATGTGTTTTCATATACATGTGCATCTTTTGTCTGCTTTCTGTTGCTGTAGTCTCGGAGAGGAGTCGGAGCAGTACAGCATGTACCCCAGCAACAGGGTAAAGCGCCGCCAGGCGCCTTATGAGGTTGAACTCGACGAGGGTAGGCACATTTCAGCTCTTTATAAGTATGATAAGACGCACTTCTGCTGTGTCCGCCTCCTGCCAATATAGTCTCCTAAATGTCTCCCTCCTCGTCTCCATTGTCATTCATCCACTGACATCGATCCATACTGTACCTAATCTGAGTGTTGCAGAAGATGCCTTAAAATAAATAAGTGTTTAACGCAGAGGAATAAATACATCATAATTCATGGCATAAGTGAATGCTGCTAATCTGAATGTCAAATACATGTACCTGCATGCCATTAAAGTAAGCTATACTTAGTCAGATTTGGGGTTTATTTCATTTGAAACCTCTTTTCCATCGCTGCCCACTCACTGCCATATACTGGGGTGGAGGATGGGGGTGCTGCTGCCTCCATGCCAAGGTTTTACTGCAGAGTGGGCTGAAGGATTAAGATAGACTGGGTGTGTTCCAAGGGCGACAATAGCCTGGAAGACACAATTGTTTAGGGCGGGAGGATGTGACTACCTGCAGTGGGGTATTTTATCGTACCTAAATAAATAAGAAGTACATAAAAAATGGAATCGGGAGCACACAGTCCCCCCGACACTCTTTCCTGGGGTTTGCCATGAACCAACCATTTCTCTTGCACCGCATGTAGCCTACATAGTATTTGACACAGAGCATATTGTACTATATTCTGCAGGCCTCTATAACTTCTTCTCCATCATTGAAAAACCCATATTTTAGAGAGGACAATTTTGAGCTTATTTTTTTAGGATTTCTTTTCTACGAAATCATTTTTCCTCAAATCCTATGTGCATCCGTTCTCCTGCAGCTACTTGTTCCATTTTTATCATTGCACTTGCTATACCCTTTTACAGACAGCATTATCAGTTTCAGCTTCTACACTTCATGTTATTTGGGTTGCCCTACCAATGCCTCTTCTTCTTACTCTCTGTGTCCGACTCTTTCCCTCCCTTTTCCCTGCTAGCTGGCCAGCCAAAGATCGTACGTCGTATCTTCACGAACAGTCGGGAACGTTGGCGGCAGCAGAACGTAAACGGGGCATTTTCGGAGCTTCGCAAACTCATCCCCACTCACCCCCCAGACAAGAAGCTGAGCAAGAATGAGATCCTGCGGCTTGCCATGAAGTACATTAGCTTCCTCTCCAACCTCCTGGAGGACCAGGACGGCGGGAGGAATGTTGGCAGCACAACTGACGGGGAAACAGGGCTGCTGGTTGGAGTTGGGGCCCACGAGGGCGGCCCTCAGGGCGGTCCACATCAGGACACAGTGGTTGGCTTGGCCAGGGACGATCTTCTGGAGACCATGTCACCAGGTTCCAGTTGTGGAAGCCTGCCTGACGGCGATGCCGAGGGCAGTCCTGAGAGCTTTATGGAGGACCAGGACTCGCCTCCAGCTCCAAGGACTCTAACGGCTTCACGTGGGCCCGCGCTGCATCTAGCTGCTAGAGATCTGAGGCGCAATGGCCGCCCTTTAGATGGCTCCAGTCGCCGATGATGCTGATGCTGATGCCAACAGACCACAGACACAACACCTGAGACTGAAATGAGAGGGACTAAGAAAGAGGTGTCTATGCTCAGGACCTGTTAGCTTTGAGCTGTCAGTGTAGGAAAGAGAATCAAGCACCAACTAGTGAGATAGTGGTGTATGATCCTGTCTCCACCCTACACCTGAGGGAGCACTGATAAATCGCTTGCTTTGATTGGTGATTGTTTGAATTTGATCCAACAAAAGACTTGTAAATTCTGCATATCTCATGTCTTTGACTGACCTGCGGTTTATAACCGTCCGTGTTTTTAAAAGTCCAAAGACAGGATATTCTAAAATTTAAAAAAAACAGAAAAAGAAAGAAAGAACAAGCAAAAAAAAAACCCAAATCAAACAAAAGAGACACTTTTTTGATTTGTAATATTGAAGTTTGGGCCAATGCTTCAATTATGATACTATTGATTACAATATAATGCGGCCAGCCCTGGAGATTTATGCCCAACGAATATAATGTGTTAGAATAATGACACAAGATTAAGTTTGCCTCAGTTGGAGGCCGTAAATGAACCGACTGGACTCTATTGTACCCATGCAGTAACGTATGTATTGTAAATAGCATTATATTTCCACGGCACAATGTAACAACAGTGGCTCGAGTTCAAGTCATGTGGTTTAAGATGTACTATAGTGTGTTTGTCAATTGGTTTACTAGCAAAATGGTCTTTTGGGAGACATGAAACAAAAAAGAAGAGAGACTGAACGCGAAGAACTCAAAATGTAAAGCAACAACTGAACGTAGTACATCAAATGTGGTACCATTTCCTTCTGTTACACTTTGGTGATGAGAAAATGACACCAAATACGACGACAGACAGTTAAACATTTTCACTGCCGGGAATTAATATATCTATTTGATTTTGCGGAGGTACAAGACATGCAGTGTTTTTTAAAGTGTACAAAATATGAGTCATATGATATTATGAAATGACTCATGCAGTCATTTTGATATGAATGTTTCAGTGTTTTTTTTTTAAAACTGTAATGCAGTTGTAGTTTAGTAAGGTACACAAATAAATCCCTTCATTGCCGCATACATATACAGACACATGCACAGAGACACGAACACACACGCACACATACAGTGTTAATATCATAACAACACCAGCAGTTTTCTGATTAATACAGTTAAGGTTTGCTCACTGTTGTTGGTTATTCTGCTTTTTCAGCAGGACCTAGTAGCCTATATTGGTACCTTTGGTAACTATGGTATTTTATGAATTGCAGTAAAGGGACATTGTACGTTTGGTAATGACATATTTGTTGTATGATAGCTGTATCTATAAATATATCCAATGTTAAATCGATGAATTTTATACAAAACCCCTGAATAAAACATGCAGAGGAAAAGCCTTGTGGTTGATCTCACTCAAGCTCAAGTTGTAGATTTTATTACTGTAATTCAAGGTAATTTAATCCAGTTCTGTTCAATTCAGTTCAATTAGTTATATTCTGCTCAGTTCAATGTAATTTGATTAAATTCAGTTCAAGTCAATTCAATTCCTTCATTGTCAAAAAAACGGAATGTATGATACTTGTTACCACATTTCAGCATTTATGATTAATAATACCTTTTACCCACTCACTCATAATTGCATAACTTATTTGACAAAATTCTAAGACAGGCAATGGCATAACATACCACGCAGCTGCTTCCCACCTTGTCTGTACAGAGTGTTTGGTCGAGACCACAACCTCCTCATGAAACCCCCCCGATGGACGCTGGAATCCTCACTTCCACCCAACAAGTGACAACTTCCTGTGGAGGTTAACGCGGCCCGGTGACCTGCAGGATATCCTGCCATTGTGAAAGTGGTTTTGACAGCCTTCGCTGCACTCGTTTGCACACTGTTGTGTCTGTACACATTGTGAAACGGCCACAGTGGTAACTCCCCCTGCCTGAAAGTTATTCAACTTATGCAATCGTAAAGTTATGTTCACCAAACCGGTGTTCATTAATAAGAAATTTGCAGAAGGGTTGTTGCTTTGCCAAATAAATGCTATTTTTCTCAAATGTCTATATGTCCCTACATTCCAAAACTCCGCACAGCACACGTTGCCACCACTACAACAGCACCAGCTCTTAGACATTTCTTAAAAACTAAAATTGCTTCCAGGGAGCATCAGAGACATCCAGGTGTTTGGGGACCCCTCCTGTGCTCTGATCTGGCTGTGCTGGGACTCCACTGAGAGGCCCTCAGGGTTAATGCCTGCCAAACATTTACCTGCTCCAGTGTTCCTGTCTCTCCACAAACACACACACTCACAAAAAAAGAGAGGGATACAGGGAGTGTATGTGGGGGATTGAAAGGGAGGGGATGAGAGGCTTGTGTGAGTGTGTATGTGCTTGCTCTACATAGATCTGTATGTATGTGTGAGAGAGAGAGAGAGAGAGAGAGAGCGGGCGTGTGTGTGTGTGTGTGTGTGTGTTTATCAGCTCAGTGCAGATGGGTGGGAGAGTGGCTCTTGCAGCCAAATGATTCAGTATGCTAATGAGTTGTTATCTGTGGTGCTGCAGGAACAATATACTGTCTTTCTCACAGTGGGAATCCAGCCTGCTGGGAGCAGATTACACTGCACACACCGCCAAGGTAGTTATTTATATTTTCACACAGAGTAGTAGAAAATACATAAATGCACACACACACACACATCCACAGATAGGCCTATAAACAAACAAGCAAAATAACATTTTAACACACACACACACACACACAAACACACACCGCCAACACCAACAACAACAACATAAATAGGATAAATATAAACGACAACATAAATAAATTTGGAAATTTAAGGTAAATTTATGTCCTTGACCAGGAGATGAAGATGCCATTCTAGGCCTTCCTCTTTAACAGGTTTCAGAGTTATGTTTCTGTTACAAAATATTTCCTATGTTCTTAATTAAAGTGAATCTTCAATTGCCCAGAATGTTGTTTTCCCACAATCAATAAGCTTTGTCCAATTGGGAGAAACGTTTAGCTTTAAAGACCCAGAGTCAGCTGCAAAATAAAATCCTTCCTTTCTTGTTATGAGTCATACACAAATTATTAAATCAGTTGCGAAACTGATCATGTTTGGTCGCTGTCTCTCCCAAAAATGACACTTTTAATTCATTTCAAAATTCACATATATTTTATTCCCTTTACAATCTTGGTTCATTTCTCTTCTCTTGACTTTTGACCCACACGCAGATCCAACGCTCGGTCGTTGGATTTGGAGAAAAGAAAGTATCACCTGCTTTTAATCATTCCTTCATAAAAGACACAAATGTACAAAAATGCAGGCTGTGCTTGACAACATTTATTTGGATATTTGTCGTTAAAAATAGAATTCCCTGATGTTTATTACGTCATTATATTTAATTTCATAGTAATTATTTATCTTCTTATGTGCCACCGGCTAAAATCTTGGTTAAGTGCACACTTATGTCTCCCTCTGAAAAACAGAGTGTGTTCTCGGGTCAGATTTGTATGAAAATGAATGAGACATTTATATATGCTAACAGCTCTTAAGTGTATTGTATGGATACATTAATATGACCCAAGATGTCGGGTCAATTTATTGCTTTATTGTAAAAACAGCAATCAATGTGTGAGATAGATTTAGAAATAAGAAAATGAAGAATAATTAAGAAGAGACAAAGTAATTGATTGCGGAGGGAACATTATACACCTAATGAAGGTCGGACTGCCTGAAACGTAACATTAATAAATATTTCAGCAGTAAGTGTTTTATGACTGCACTTCCCTCTGACGCAACTGTCACACATTGAGGTGCTGAAGGTTTTTTTCTAAATAGTTTGGACAAAAATGACTTAAATACACAACACCCTAACAGAATATTACAATAAAGGCCATCACGTATCCTATTGACATCAATACAAAACCCACAAAAACTAGTTTATTCTGGTCATAAACTAGCAAAATAGATTTGCTCAGTATTAAATTAGGTACTCCAATTTGCTCAAAAACAATATGAACATTATTCAATTTTAACTATATCCCTCTTAAGGTTTAGTCACTTTAAATCTAATTTAGTGATACAAATATTTTCATTACAATTACTGAAGATTTGGCAAAGTCTGTAAAAATGTAATAATTGTAACACCACACAATGAAAAAATACTTTAGAACTAGGTAATGCAGTTTCCCTATGTCTTCATCACAACATAAAAAATGTCTCAGTAACCTCTCAGAGATATAAAATACTAAATTCAATTTATCTTCCAGCTGGATTGATGTTGTGTACAGGAGCATCAGTTTTTTTAAATGGTACAGTGTAGGTACACCAGAGTATAATGTATACTGTGTTCATCTGTCTCTCTGCTGCAGAGGGTTGTCCTCTCTGTTTGGTGCAGCTAATCTATTGTTATTGGTATGTAATGCAAAAATATTATTTTGACTTGCATCTGCTTCTGGGTGATGCTTTTATAAACTCATGTCAGTCGTCTGTGTTCCTGTGGCTATGAATCACTGCCTTCAATCTTTGCTGATAATGAAGAGGAACAGGGATGTCACTCTTTCTCTCCTGCAGTGAATCCCCATTTAACAGACCAGACTGTAGTGAATGACGAGAGTCCGCAAGAATGATCCATTCTGCTGTGTGAATGGAATCTGCATTAGTAAGTATTAATCTCCTGTTGTTTTGCAGTCAGTAAGTGGACAAGAACATGTTGAGTCTTAATAAGAATAATTATTTTGGGACATTTAATTTTCATTCAATGTGTGCAACCTTTTTTTTATGATTTTCTCTCAGCATCTCAGCATTTAATGATGCTCTCAAATACCTCTTTACAGAACTTGGACACCTTACACCCTCTAGTGGGAACCAAATGCAATCATTGAATATTTACATCAATTGTTCCCAAATTTGTATTGGCCTCATTGACACAGAGCTTATCTATCCTAATTGCAGAGACTAATGGCTTATAAATTAGCTTCTAGTTCTGGTTCTGAATAAATAAAACCGAAGGGTCATCCATTTCAAGCATAGTCATTTTTAATGCGTTGTTACAAAGAACTGAAGTGTTGCATACAGCATTATAATCAAGCCTCATCCATCTCCAAATACAGCAAGGCAAGCAAAGCATTTAGTTTGATTAGCATGACAGCAGCGAGCAGAAACCGAAGCGGCAGCATTTAGCTGAATCACATTAATTTGACAGGGCAGTGCAATCGGCTGAAGGCTGTGCAGAGTCTACAAGAAGTTAAAATCGGGCCTCATTCAAGGTCAAAGGTTGCAGTCACTGGTTTTCCATAGCAGTAGTCTTGTCCTTTGAGTCTGGGTAAAGCAGGAAGCCAGAGAAGGTGCTGTCATCCTCACTACTGGAGTAAACTCCGTTCCAGTCTCTCAGCGTCTCCAGCCACACCTGGTCGCCTTCATTCAGCTGCATCAGTGCGAGGTTGGATGCCTGATCGATGTCCTGGCCGTACAGAGAATCCCGAGTTCGCAGCTTCCGTATCCCATTAATCACGAGGGCAGCACGCACGGGCCTGTTGCGCACGGTGATGTGGTAACTGAATAAGTAGACCCCCGGGTAGGTGGCGTTGAACTTGTTGAGTGCTGGGTCCCAGTGCCCCTCCCCGTTATAAAACACCTTATCAAACTTCACGGGCAGGCCGGGCGGAGGGAAGGACCTGCTTGGAAACAAGCCCACACTGAAGGCAGAGCGAATCTGTTCCACACTCTCACCCGGTGGGCCTTTAAGGCCCCGAGGCCCACGCCCACCTTTAGCTCCCCTCTCCCCCCGAAGCCCTGCCATGCCCCTGCCTCCTGGAGGTCCTGGGGGCCCTCTGGCACCAGTATCCCCCTTCCCACCCGGAGGCCCTGGCTCCCCTCTCTCTCCCTTTGCACCATCAGTTCCATTCACTCCTGGGGGGCCCATCTCACCTCCCAGACCAGGGGGCCCGCGCTCACCCACATGACCTTTGTCGCCTGGTAAACACTCGCTTGTAAGTCCATGTTCACCTATCTGACCCTTTGTCCCAGCTACCCCAGGGGGACCCATAGGCCCCTCTCGCCCGGTGTTGCCCTTAGTCCCATTCAGGCCAGGCTCTCCTCTTTCTCCAGGGTCCCCTTTCAGACCACTGAAGCCACGTTCACCTTTCTCTCCTCTGGGGCCCGGATCACCTATAGAAAGTATATATTCACATAGGAAGACATGTTGTGATTAGAATACTTACGTTTCCCAATAGTAATGTACATTTGCACATGTGGGTGCATTTATAGATACTTTAATCTCATCTAATTCAGTATGAATAAAGGAGATGATCTGATACGTAAAAGTTTTTACTGACCTCTCTCTCCTGGTTTTCCCGGGATGCCAGGGGCACCAGGAAGACCCACCGATCCTTGATCACCTTTGTCACCTGTGGTAGTTTTGATAAATAAAGCACAGAAAATGACAACATACTTATACAGGACTTATACAGGATGGCGTTTTGCAAGAAAGGAGAGACGGATAGAGAGAGAGAAACGGAGAGGCAATCAAAAACTCTCCTGCTGTTAAGCCCCGTAGTACCTATGTCGCCATTGAGTCCATTGGCTCCAGGTAGTCCTGCTGGTCCTGGGGGTCCTCTGAGCCCTGTTTCTCCCTTGTCTGCTGGTAACCCTGAAACAAAAAACAGAGAGGAGTATGAAGAAGCACAAAATTTGACCACCAAAAGCTAATTTGTCGGAAAATGATAATCTATCTTACCTAAAGGGCCCCTCTCTCCTGGCGGTCCTGGTGGCCCACTTTCTCCCATGGGCCCTACGGGGCCTCTCTCTGGCGGACAGCACTCACAGACGTTGAAGAAGCATTCATTGTAGTCAAGGGTATAGTTTCCGAGGGTGTTCCCGGGGGGCGCTATGGCATCGGTGGGGAACTCAGTGGAGTAAGTGTCGCTGGAGTAGGTGGTGCTGTCTGCAGCGGACAGGGAGTAAGCGTCCATTGTAACCTCAGTTGTCTCATCCGTCTGCAGGCTGCTAGAAGGAGATGGGGTCGTGGTGGTGGTGCGTCCGAATCCTCCACCCCCACCTCCGCCGCTGCTCCCAGCTCGAGGGGGCTTCTTGGTGGTCTGAGGTTTGGGCCAGTGTGTGGTTCTGGTGCTGGAGGCCTGCGTGGCCATCTGTACCACAAGGAGCGTGGTCAGGAGGACCAGGCGAACGGAAGGCATTCTGAGTGCTTGACGCAATAAGCTGTAAGGGAGAAGAGTGGCAGTTTTGAGGAATAGATAAAACAGGTGCAGCACTTTTTTTGTATTGCATCACAGTGTGTTAACGATGAATATAAAAGCAACAAGTGCATCTTACCTGTTGATGTAAATGGTGTTGACTCTTCACTCCATCCCTTCCATCGACTGATTGATGCAGCCTGCCTCTTTCCTTATATTGGCCCGAGACAGAGAACAAGGGACTGAACACCGGGGTTATTAGGAGGTAGGTGGGCTGGCAGGAACAGATTACATGACTCCTGAGGGATATGAAATAAAGCAGGTTGTATACAAGGCAAGACTTTATTCTTTGTGATGTGGGATATGATTCCAGGGCCTGTGAGTGCACACACTGCTTAAATGGTGTTCACACACATGCTTGCTTTGTACACAAACAGCAGAAATATAAGGTTACACACAAAGACACACATCCGCAGAACATGCGTACATAAGCATAGAGTACACACACACACACACACACACACACACACACACACACACACACACACACATACACACACACACACACACACACATCATTTGTAATGAATAGCACATCATGTGAGAGTTACTGGGTGCAACACCTTGTAGTGATCACACCAATTGGCAGCACCTCAAAGCAGAAAATGGATCACCATGCACCCAGTGGGAGAGGGATCAATGTCCCAAAACAGACGGCGTGGCAACATTGATCCAACCGTTCATCTCCTTGATCAAACCAACCCAAAGAGCCCAGTAAACCCGGTAAACCTCATGGAAACCTGGCCCCACTGAACCAAGCTTTACGCGTCTCAGAATCTGTGCTGGATGTAGTTTCAAACCTCTGACATTAACTCTGAATGATTCCTCATTAGTTGCCAAGGTTCCACACACAATCTTATGTGGAGCCATATGATACTGTACATGAAAAAAATAATAAATGAACTCAAAAGAGAAAAAAGGCAAAGAAGGTCATTACGAACATCGACAATTGTCTAGCTGAGGGTTGAGGATATTTCATGACAAACTGAGTACATACACTGCTTTATTATAGACCTGTGTTGTATAATGTGTGCTCTTAAAATACAAGAAAGAAAATTAAATCATCCAGATTTAATCACCCAAGCATCCTCAAGTATGTCATTGTTACCGCAGTGCCTATTTTAGTGTGTATGTTGGCAAATCATACTGCCACACCCCTATTTCTCTAAAGAAGGAAACAGAAGTACTGAAGCTATTGGGCTCGTTAAAAAAATAAATTGATATTCGAGTTTATGCGGGAAAAAACAATACCAAATCAGATGAAAAACAAGGAAACAGGTGGAGGTGGAGGAGGACAAGGAACACCTGATCTGTCAGCCTGAGAGGAAAGACACCCCGCAATTATTGAACTAACATCCATAAGTGGGGGAAATGAGGGTGAAAGTGATGACATCAGGCAAAGATTTTCTCCCAGAAGTAATTTATTTCATAAATGTATTTGGGTTGCACCGAATAGCTCGAAGGTTCATAACCTTGACATCATTCATTTAAATTCTCAATCTTTTAAATATTGTTGTCTATTAAAGCCTTTTTTAATGCATGTGAGTGTAATATGAGATACATTTAGATGCCTTCATCAGTTGCGCCGTACGCACGGTCTGAGTCAGTGCCCAGTCTAAGCACGGATTTGTGCATACTGTGAAACAGGCCCAATGACAACACCAACTCTGAAATGGGAAAGACTGGTTTCCAACACTATACTTTACTATTACAAAACAAAACTGAAGTTAGATTCACTCATTCCTTTGCTTAAAAAGGTCCAGTGTGTAGGATTTGGCATCATCTATCTGTGAGGTTTCAGATTGCAATCAACGGAAACTCCTCCCGTGGGCCAAGTGAGAACTACGGTTTGATTTATAGTATTATATTCCATTTCTGCAAATAGTTCCCCCTAAATGCTACAATGTACCTTCAATTAAGTGTTAAACGTTTAATAATATTGGTGACTGCATTAATTAGATTCGTGTGTGAGTATGAATTGTGACGTTGATAGGACTGTCAGAGAAATATTACTCCATGAAGCCACCAGGTGGCAGTGTTGGGTCAATGCACTGCTGTCACAACATCTGAACAAAGGCCTCTTCTCGCAATTGTTATTACCCATATTATAATCTAAAGTGTGTTATTGTGTCATACCCTTTTATCTGAATTTAAATTGTGCTGCATATATAGCTGCTTTATTTGTGTGCGTCTACAAATATGGTATGGAGTGTATTCTATTGATTAATGTCCAGTTGACATGAAAAGTCAGCAGGGTCATACAATGTGGAGATGCATTTAGATTTAATATCACTCTGATATCAGATGACATCATCATTTCAATCCGCAATGTCTTATCCATCGTATGATCCTGCAGCTGCGCACTTCTGTCATAATGGATGAGTCAGTGTCAAAAGATCTACTTCCACTAAATACTTTCAAAATAAAGCCCCGATTTAAATAACATCCTTTGTGCAAACCAGTTGGCTTCAGCTTCCGCTTATGTTTTTGCTTTATTAAGACATCCACAGCTGACTACCGGTCTTATTCTCGATTGGTTTGACACAAGCTCGAGAATGGAGACGTGTGTGTGGAGTATGTGCTGTTGAATGCGGAGACAGAACAGGCTATCCGAGGGAAGAGACGGGGTCAGCGGCGGAAAAGGAGGACACCTCCAGTCACATCGTCGAGTCTCGGCCCCGCCGGTGACATGTCTCTTGTTGGGGTGGGTCCAACCCGAAATATCAGTCATCCTACAATGGGCTGCGGGAGATCGGCTCAACTCGGAGAATCCTCTCGCAGCTGTTCAGAGAGCCGAAGATAGGACCGAGACATCGGACCGAGTCAGTGACGGTGGACTGCCCGCGTTTTGTCGTGCGCTTCTCGGCCCGGTGTCTGGCAGTCTGCCGTGCACAGTGCGCGTATGCGGTCGGAGTAGAGACAACAGGCCTCCGTAGAAAACACTTTAGATGTTGAAATTCAGTCTTTGTCAATCGATTTTTCTTCACACCCCTGGCGAACGGATGGAGTGAATTGTGCAAAAAAAAAAAAAAAAAAAAAAAAAAAAAAGGAGAGAGAGACAGATCGCAGTTTGGTTGCGTGTGATGATAGGAGACACAATGACGCTCTTGTCTCTTCTGGGTCGGATCATGCGTTATTTTCTCCTCAGGCCGGAGACGTTGTTCCTGCTGTGCATAAGTCTGGCGCTGTGGAGTTACTTCTTCCACACGGACGAGGTGAAGACCATCGTCAAGTCCAGCCGGGACGCCGTGAAGATGGTGAAGGGGAAAGTGGCGGAGATGATGCAGAACGACCGGCTGGGAGGCCTCAGCGTCCTGGACGCGGAGTTCTCCAAGACCTGGGACTTCAAGAACAACAACGTAGCCGTGTACTCCATACAGGGGAGGCGAGACCACATGGAGGACCGCTTCGAGGTGCTCACCGACATCGCCAACAAGAGCCACCCGTCCATATTCGGGATATTTGACGGCCACGGTGGAGAGGTATGGCTGGGAGGGGAGAGGTTAGACAGGCCGATGTTATCCGCGTGCGTTAGGCTGGACTCATCCAGACCTGCAGCTGCACGCGAGTTAGCGCCACTTTGAATTCAGTGCACAGGTAGAGAGACGGGGAGGTATTGGGAGAAAGCATACAGTAGCTCAATATTTGCTGCTTTTTTTGGGGGGTGCATGCTCAATACAACCTATTGTGAAATGTGTGGAGATGTATCACAACAACACTGTGACATGATATATAATATTCTGAATAAAGTGATATTATAAGAGATAGAAAATAACAGCACCGTGCCAGGTTTCTATGGGAACACAGTTAATTACTGTGCCACATACATATGCCTTGAGCCCCCCTCCCCCCCCCCTCTCCATCATTGTCTTCTTCTGTGTGAACACCTCCTCTGTCCTGCTGCCAATCAGGGAGTTGACTTTGGATGCATCACAAAGACCGTGTGTGTGTGCGCGTGGGGGTTAGCTGTGTGTGTGAGAGTAGTTTTTGTCCATCTTTCCACCACTCCCTGTGTCGTCAAGGGTCAGTGGTTTCTCATGGCTCCCTTCAGACCACATGTCCTATAGCCATCTGTCACACCGCCACCCCCTGTCCCCCAGAGGTTCCAGTGAATGATACTGGCTGAGTTTCTGATATACAGCCCAATATTCCTGTTTCACATCATTTATTGTTTTTTTTTTCACTAACACAACACAGGAACATATTTAGATGGTTTTGTCGAGACAGCAATCCCAAAGATATTCAGTTGACTGTCATTGACGGCTAAGACAACCAGCAAATAGCCTTTTTCAATTTGAGAGGCTGGAAGCAGTGAAGTTTGGGCATTAGCTCTATTCATTAGGTATCTTACATTTTTAGGGGGTTTATTAATCTTAATATAAAAAGTTGAACTCAGGAGTTTTCTAATTTAAACCCAGTTCTAGTTTGAATCATTATTCTAACACACATTCATCAATGTACATCTTCCAAGCTCTGTGTACAAAGTGTTATTTGCAACTAAAAGATGAATGTCAGGGTTGAGCATATAGTTCTTATATCATATCCGCATTAAACGTTCATGAATGAGAATTAAAGCTCCGTCTCTCAAACCAAATGTTCTCCTGCTGGTTTAACGTCGGGTCACACCAGAACATTCATTCCCAGGTCTGATCCGCTGCACATCGGCACTTACAATTTGATTCGAGGAAAAATACTAAAGGGAACTCTCCGTTCTCTTTTTGTAAAAGATTAGTTGCCGCTTGTTTGTGTTCAATCGTAGAGAGAGAGAGACAACAAACAGAGAGTCAAAGGTGTTTACCCATCTGGATCCCTCTCTATTCCTGTCCCCTAAACACATATTTATCTTTCCTGTCCGTCCTGACATCTCTCACTCTTTCTCTCTCATTTTTTCTTCCCTTTTATTTGCTCAAATGTGCATCTCTGTGTATTAATTTGAGTTTGCTCCATTCTTTTATATTTCATCTTTCAGTCACAGTCAAATAGGGTTTGGACTGCAAAATAATGTGTCACTCTGACATGGACCTCAGCTGTTCTAGGGTCATGAGCATCAATACACAGACCTCATCCTGATATATGGAAACACACACTGCTAAAAAGTAAGCACCAACAGTAAAGTAAATGCAGATAGTAAAACGACGGGTCCAAAGTTAAGGGTTGTGTGGAAAAGCTGTGTTTGTCTTCGGGGACTCTCAATGCCGGCGGTGTTGTCGGAAATATCACAACATGTGTGGATATCCTATTTGCTGTGATTTTTTTTTTTTTTTTTTTATTTATTTTTTTTTTTTATGCAGTTTGGCACAACTGTAAAAACAAACACGCACTCGCACAAACATCGGCAATATTAAATGAAGTGAATGCCGCCAAACCAAACAGGCCGGTAGAACCAGGCTGTCTCTGGCAGTGCAGTGTGTTCCCGGCTCTGAAAATATGCAGGACATTTCTCAAACGCCGCTCTGTTTTTATCTCCCTGTATTTTTATGGAGGTAGTGAGTTTCTGGCCCAGAATTATAAAAAGTCAGCACAAAGCTGCTGCTCCCCTTCATGATTTACAGAGACTATACCTGCTGCTGAAGCAGGAACTTTGAAAAGTTTACAACTTTTCAAAGGGCTTTTCGCACTACTTTGCTACATAAAATTGAATTCATGACTCATAGGGCAATAAAGCAGCGATGTCAAGAGATCCACGATACAGATTAATCAACCTCATTAAATCCTCAGACTGTGACATATTTGAGTCATTTATGAAGTCTGTAAATGGAAATTCATTTCGTGGCTCACTGAGTGCCCTTTTCTCGCTCCACTAAATGAATGAGTACATTTGTCCAGCAGCAGGAAGAGACGGTTACACTCTATGATCACTGGGAATACCATAATCACGTCCAGGTGTCGTTTCCTCGCTGTATTCTACTCCCAATGCCGTTTAATTAATGACAAACATTTTCAGTCTAGTGGTTGTGAGTTTTGGTTGCGAATGAATGTTGAAGGTCTGTAGCTGTGCTGTAGAACTGCTTTCACACATCATCAGAACATCAGAAAGACAAACGGTGAAGCGTGCAAGTGGAACTTATTTCCATAAGAGCTGTGAATATGAAATATGTACTCTGTATCTGCCGCAACATTAAGATGGTATGACGGTTTCCTAATAACGATTTGATTCGACAGCATTAGCATAATGGAAATCTTGGCAGAGAAAGAAAAGGAAGAAGACTATGGAGGAGGAGGGTGGCTAGGGGATGAGGAGGTTGTTCAATAATTCAACACAGAGCACCTGCTGTATGAAATGAAAGAAGTACTCATGTAAAGAGTACTGGGTCAAATTACCTGGTAACAATGGGGGGGAAACCTAAATAGTAACATTATTTATTCTATTCTGGGGACCAAACTGAGGATAATTAATCACAAAATGTGATGAACCGTACATGTATAATGCGGTGCAGCCAGTTAAATTAATAAGAAGAACAGATTTTTTTTTTTTGTTTTGTAGAAAATGAAAGCCAAACATAACTTTATTATTATGAATATTGATTAGTGCAGCTTTGAGCTTTACGGGATAAAGTAGCTGAAAACTCCATGTGATGACTGCAGATTAGCCTTAAAATCTTGCAGTAATGTATGAGTTACACAAGCAGTAACCTCTCTTACAGCTGTCTATGTATTACTGACATAAAGTAGATCATTCTGAACCTTTTAAGCTAATTTGAAACAATCAATACCACAACAGCTCTATGCTTCTTCCGCCGTCTTAACCCTCCCCATGTTCTTCTTCCCTCCCCTTCTCCCCCCCCTCTCTCTCCCAGGCTGCGGCTGACTACGTGAAGGCCCACCTGCCAGACTCCCTGAAGCAGCAGCTGCAGAACTTTGAGAGAGAGAAGAGAGAGAGCGCTCTCTCTTACGGCAGCATCCTCGAGCAGCGCATCCTGACTGTGGATCGGGAGATGCTGGACAAGCTCTCTGCCAATCACGATGAAGCAGGTTAGGAGGCGGAGGAGAGTGGTTGGAAGTGAATATTTAGTTGTGTGTGTGTGTGTGTGTGTGTGTGTGGTGGGGGGACAGTTAATGGGTCAACAGAGAGAAGACGGGAAGAAAGCTGTAAGGGCAGTTGCAGTAAAAGAAAAATATACTGGTAATGATATTTGGCTCTGCAGTAGCGCTCCAGCCGCGGCGATTTCCAGCAACATCCAATCCTCCACGAGACATCCAACCATTTTATTATCAAGTCTATGCATCCAACACACAAGCGAAAGCAACTTCAACAACAGCAAGTCCTCCTCGAGAAATCCACATGACAAACAATTCCTTAGTTTAACAGACAATGACAGCTGAATGACTCATAGCACATCCAATAATGTTTGTTTTTACCTCTTGTCCATAAATCCAGTCGCGTCTGTTCTTCCACTCCCACTTAATCCCTTGTTTGAAATCAAGTAATTTCCAGTGTCGGAGGAGTAGTGCGGAAAAAAATCCATCACGTTCAGGTTTTTTTTACTTAATATAGTGGCTATTCCGTTTCTAAAGTCATAGCCCATGCAGCAATAGTTGTTTTAACGCACCTTTGTTGGAGATCCAGGCGCTTTTTGTTTGTTGTTCTAAAATAATAAATAAACTCATATCCTACCAAATGTTGAAGGCCAATAAACAATGTCAGACTCAAATGTGTTTGTGTGAGAGAGGGAAAATAATATATGTATCGAAGATGATACTGATATATTCTTAAACGATGAGAAGAGACGGTGAAAAGACTTTGTTCGGTCTCCACTAAAGCTAGGACTTCCTCTCTCCCCGAGTTTTTTCCTAAACATGTTTAACTTTACCACAACCCCAATTTGCCAATCAAAATCAGTGAATCACGGCTATCAACAAAACATAAAGAGAGGTCTTGAAACAATGATAATTATTCTGTAAATGTAAACACAAACTGCTATTCTGGCTCCTGCATGCTCCACTTGTAGTGCAGGCTGAGTGTTGTATTACTCTGTAGTTGATTCACTCACTCACTCACTCATGTCATTGTAGGTTACTCTACATGTACACTCAGGCTATGGGGATTAGGTGGTCTAATCTTTACAAATCACTGTATTTATTATAGTGCGGCACATCAATGAAAATATAATAGTGGCAGATATGATCATACCAGAGATCTCATGACATTTTCATTCCTGGAGATATATTTACTGACATTTTGGACGTGGCCCAAGACTGTTGTAACACTCCCTGTTATCTTAAATGTCACATAAACCAAACATTACCTTTCATTCTCTTGTTTGCTCTGAACAGCAACCACAAGCAACACATTAGATAATTCATTAAATCTGGCACAAAGAGTTTTTTTCTCTTGCAACACAGGTGCAGTGTGATAGCAAGAGATGTGGAAAACCATTACATCTTCTTATTATGTGATAAACCCCATGCTTCTGTTGCTCCCGCTGTTTCAAATAAACAGGCAACCAGATTTAATTCAGAATTGTTGGAACATTAACTAAAAAACAGCTTTCTGGACTGTTTCCTCTTATTTTTTGTCCTTCTCATCCGATCTCCCCATGCAGGAACCACATGTCTGGTAGCCCTGCTTTCAGACAGAGAACTCACAGTGGCAAACGTTGGAGACTCTCGCGGCGTGTTGTGTGACAAAGACGGAAACGCTGTCGCACTGTCACACGACCACAAGCCGTACCAGCTGAAGGAGCGCAAGAGGATCAAGAGGGCAGGTAGAGAAAACAACCCCGTCAAATATCCCACACACTGAATGTACCTGCACTGCACTCTCACGGGGAGGAATTTAGGGCCCTTTGTTGCCATCTGTTGGTCAATTTAGAAACAGCATTGTGTTTGATAACGCACAGGGTCAGACTTAACTGAAATAGATACCTAGGCTGTGTGATTAAAAGAGTTTCACAGGTGATATTTGTTTATTAAGTTATATCAAATCAACCCAGTATTTAAAACGTCAGCTCTTTCCAGCTCATTTCAGGTTTCTGCCACACTTACTCATTCATTTGATTGAAATACTGTAAGTCCACATTAGCAGATCACCAGACCGTGCTTAAACCTTTTCACTCTTATTTCTTCACTTCCAGGAGGTTTCATCAGTTTTAATGGATCCTGGAGAGTCCAGGGCATCCTGGCTATGTCCCGCTCCCTAGGGGACTACCCACTTAAAAACCTCAACGTAGTCATCCCCGACCCCGATATCATGACCTTTGACATGGACAAGCTGCAGCCAGAGTTCATGATCCTGGCCTCAGACGGCCTGTGGGACGCTTTCAGCAACGAGGAGGCCGTCCGGTTCGTCCGCGAGCGTCTGGACGAGCCTCACTTTGGCGCCAAGAGCATCGTCCTCCAGTCCTTCTACCGCGGCTGCCCCGACAACATCACCGTCATGGTGGTGAAGTTCAAAAGTGGAGCTGGGGGGAGCAGCAAGGCGGGGGAGTAGGTCAGGGTCAAGATCGGGAGCTCACATTGTGATCAATGTTTTCAACGATTCTCCGCATCTTCTGGGTGAAGCAGTGAGCGTGATATCACTGGAGGAAGTATGGACACTGGGAACCAAACATGTGCACACGCATACAGACACACATGCAAAAACGTGTACAACATAATGATGTTTTGTTTTATTTTGTAGGTTTTTGATTGAATTAAGGGCATTTGAACACAATACTCATCTCATAACCATCTGTTCACTTAACGATAAACACTTACTGAGAACAGTGGAGATGCATGAACACACACAGACAGACAGACAGCAGACAGACAGACAGCAGACAGGGGATTTCTCTTAACCAGCACACATTAGACTGTGATTGAATAACTACTGTTTGCTGTACATGCACATACATGGTACAGCTCCACTGGAGGCTTCTTCAAAGAAGGCTTCAACTAGTGCCTACTTAAGAATTACTGCGCAACCACAGGAAGCTACTGCAAATGTATTTGCAATCACACCACCCTGCTTGCTGCATTGTGACGATGCTCTCGATTAATGTATGCGTCTGTCACAGTTTTGACCTGGAAAATGTTGTCAAATACAAAAAAAGACTCCAGTGGATCGATACCTTTATACTTGAAGTGATGCTACACCTAAGATCTAACTCTTGAGTATCAAACACTCACCGCCTGCAGACTTGAGAGGTATAGCTCTTAACCATGGTTTCACCCTCTGGCTGCAGACGGCTTGAAACGGTGTCACATGTGGAAAAGAAGTTGCATAAATATGAATTTAATAAGCAACAGATCTGATTGGCCAGCTGCTCTTTTGGCAGGACTTTGGCCAATCACAGCTCCCACTGCTGCTCTGTGGGTTGGATTTTGTTCAACCTTTAGGTGCTTGCACATCTTTAAATTACCAAGAACTGTCTTTAAGTTCAAACAGACATGGAAATTGTAAATGTTTAAGCAGGAAACTTGAGCAATTGGAATAATAAATAACATTTAAAAGCCTTTTTTTTTTTTTTTTTTTTAAGTAATGTGATTCCATTTAGTAATAACTAATTCATCATTTAAAGATGAAAGTAAACTGAATTAGTAATACAAATTTTTACTTTTGAGTTTTTATGGGATTTTAATGTAAATTTGATTAAACAATTTATACTGGTAATCATTTTTTTAAAGGCTGATCAATTTATTAATTGTTTGTAATTAACAAAGACAAAATCCATCCACGTATGTAAGTATGGATGTAACTGTTTAATGTTAAGGTTGAACCAATGAATGAGCTGAGGGTTGGTCATGCCACTTTTCTCATTGAAGGCAGAAACTACAAAATTGTACTTCCACTTTTCAAGTGCAGACGGTTAGTGATACTCAGAAGAGAGATTCTGGGTGGAGTATTACTTCAACATACAACACATGCACACAGACACACAAACGTTTTTTTTTTTGTTTTTTTTTGAAGGTTGAATTCTTACATATCAGCCAATGTAAACGCTGTATATCCTCAGTAATACAAGAGGGTTTTAATGTACGTAGAACCTGATTTAGTTGCTGACCTCTTGGTAACTGCAGTTTCATGGAGTAAACTGTTCCATCAAAGTTGTTTTACACCATCTGTATATCAGGGCATGTGCTTCCGCTTATCCATGTCATGAACAACGTACATACAATGTTACCGTGGACACTGGTGCCTGCCTTTGACCCCCAGCCCCCTCCTCCAGAAAAGGACTAAAAGGTGACGCATCGTGAACTGTACAACCCGGAATGCAGTAGCTAGTAATATGATATGCTCCACCTGTCAAGAAAGGTGACAGTAAAACTTAATTTGCTGCTGTTTCATGTTCAACTCCCTATTACCACTGTGTTTAAAGACATTTGCATCAATTGAGAGACGCCTTTTTTATTTAACAGTTTACCGAATGCCTTATTTATTGTTGTTTGGGTGTGTCTGTCAGATTGCCAAATCAGCATACTGTATAATATGTTTTGTCCTCTAAATTACCCATCACTTTTTTTTTTTTTTAGAGGCAGTTCACACATGTTGAGCTGATGCTCAATGCAAAAAGAAAAGGCAGTGTAAAAAACCAAATCTGTATGCAAACTATCAGTATTAAACTAAGTCTTTCATCTTGAATGCATTTCCAGTCTTGATTATCTCAAAGGCCTTCTGGCATTACATTACTCACATCAACATGTGCAGCACCCTCACCAGTTCATTGACAGAACAACTCTTTATTTTCAACGGTCTTTTTAAATTAAATTCTCATCAGTTTTTTAAAAGGTTTCATTTTATTTATGTTTCACCACTTTCTCATTCATGTTAGATGAATATGTATTCTGATCAAGCAGCTAAGTTGTAAGTGCCTTGCTCAAGGGCACAACAAAAGAGATAAGTAATGACTAATATGTTTTATCATCTCTCCAGAAATTTCAATCAATTGTGTTCTTTCCACCAACCACCTGTCTCACGAAGCTGCACATTTCGCCAACACATAGGCAAAAAATGAAGTGATGAGATCAGAGTGAAGTTTGGGGGGGGGGGGGGGCGTGACGTCTTCCGCATGTTTCCGGGATGCGTTTGTCTGACCACAAATAGCTTTCCATACAGACCACGACTGAGCGCTGCTGTCTGCAAGGTAACCCAACCCCGCTACAGCCCTCCGGCGGGGCGCAGACAGCTCGGAAGCACTCGATGATGCCAACTTTAGTGACGGTCTTTACCAGGTGGAGATACTCAGAATAGCTCGACATTGACTGATCCAAATGTCAAAGACCCGTGTTGGAACATTCGGGCGTCTCATAAACATAAAGTCAACTGCGTCACACTACTTTACTGGAAACCCCTTGCCTATATTATATAAAGATTTGGCACTTCGTTAGTGACATAGGTGCGCGGACAGCAGAGAAAGACACTTGGCATTGAACAATCTTGGACACACAAGCACGAATTACACAACTCTGCTTTTTAAAGGGGTGTTTGAATTGAAGTCACAATATGGGACAACAAGGCTCCAAGTCCTCCATAGAGGCACGGGTGGTTTTTCAGCGCGTTGGTGCAGTGGACATGTGTGAGAAAACGGATGCATGTTGTTCTCCGGCCTCTGTTGTCCGCATTCAAAAGAAGGTGACAGGCCAGACGGCTTGTCCTCGCTCTTCCCCGCGGCCACTGGAGAAGTCAGCGGCCCATTCTTGGACCCAGAGCCGCAGTGACACCGAGGGACTGGTGTACGTGATGGACAATCCTACCGGTGGCGTGTGGGTGAAGCCGGGAGAGAAATGGACCAGAACTTGATGCAACAGTCAAATCCCCAGGTGGAATTAAGATGGAATTAAGTGAAGCACCCCGTGCTTGGACGCACTCCGTGTGTCCTTAAGCTCTGGAGTCTTTTCAGCAGGATGCTGCTGATTTGGGTTCCTTGGCTGAAGTGCTCTGTGGAGTCGAAGTGGATTTAAATCGTCTCCAGGACATGAGTTGGCTGGACTGATCACTGTAATGTGTTGATTTAGTCTATATGAGACATTATATTCAGTGTCAGATTGCAGTGGAAGATCGTTAGTGGTGATGAAGAGTGTCAGTCATGCGCACTGAGAAAACGTATTTTCTTTGGAAACAGCGTAATTGTTATGTGTCTGTTATAATAATAAATAAAGTCTTTAAAAATGATGTGGAGCGGATCAAATAAAAGAAGGGAGTCCGGGTTAAGTCACTAGAGAGTTGGATATGTTTGGTGAGCATTGTGAGAACAGCTAACATCAACCACTTTGCTGTTTAAATGAACTAGTGGCTCGTAAGCACAGTGCACTTTGGCACAGTTGGCCACCCTTCCAATGACTGACAGAACTTCATTTATTTTTCCTTCCTTTTATATTTGAATATCCTGTTTTTATATACTATATATTGATGGCAGTTTATTATTATATTGATGGACTTGAGGTCAATGACCCACTTTTATACTTAAGACTGGATGTTTGTTCAGTAGGTCTCTCACAGCAGCATAGTCTCCTTTTGTTTGTGAGAAGCTCTGAAACGTTGAGGTTGTTTGGGGACAGTGGGTCTGAGCGATACAAGATCCACTTGACCTTTCACATGTATGTCAAGAGGATGGTTGGACTGTGTGAATGTTTGAAACGTATGTTGAAATGAAGGATTTAACGACTTTAAAAAAACACCATTATTTTCTTTATTTTACAATATAGAGGACTATATTGCTGGTTCAGTTAGAAAACTGCATTTCTTTCTTTAGCAGGTGAAGTCTGGATATTGTTGTTTACCCATTGATTGACATTTACACTGAGGCAACTGGTTTTAAGTGAGATTGCAATGCGTGAACTGTGTCAAAATGTAATTTCGGGCAAATTATTGTATGTGTGCAACAATGTATCCATGGCAGCATGGTCCTATATAAACAAACAAACTAATGACTATCTTTTTCTAATTTAGAAGCGTTTTACTAAAGTGGATTTCATTCATCATTTACAGCAATATACTTTTCCATATGGCTGATTGTCTTTTCAATGTGTGTTTAGTGAACTAGCAGAATGTCTTCAGTAAAATAACAGGATAACCTTTTGTAACCTTTATTCATGACAAGATTAGTGTCACTGCTTAAAACGCGGGTGAACAATATTGTTTTAACAGATGCAATAAGTTTGCAAAACTCTACTCATACAGCGTATATAAACAAGGGATATCCTCTGGGTGGTACACACTTTGCCCCCTGGTGTGGCGCCTTATCTGTGAGCGTGAGTAAGTCAGTCAGCGTGGAGCTAATGGCTCATCTATTAAACTCCGGGCAACGCACAAAGCAAACACTGCGTCAAAAGAGCACTGTACTTGGATTATGTGCCTTTCCCACTTGAGTTGACTGTTTTTATATCTCCACGTCGCCATGGGACTGCAAGGCTCTAAACCAGAGGCCCAAGTTATCCTTCTGGGCCTGGACAACGCTGGAAAATCAACTCTCCTCTACAAACTGAAGCACAATATGTCCGTCAGCACTGTTCCTACGATCGGCTTCAACGTGGAAATGCTCGAGGCGAGGAAGAACAGGAAGAGCATCGCCATAACCCTGTGGGATGTCGGTGGCCAGGGAAAGATGCGCGAGCACTGGCCGAGTTTCCACCAGGACGCGGCGGTCGTCGTGTTTGTTGTGGACAGCTCGGGCAGGGAGCGTCTGGGGGAGGCGCGGAAGGAGCTGGAGAAAACACTGAAGAGCGAGCAGCTGCGGGGCCGTCCGCTGGTTCTTCTCGCCAACAAACAGGACGTGAACGGCGCTCTGACTGTCACTGAAATCAAGGACTCGTTTAACCTGAGGGAGATTTGCTCAGGTCGGGATTGGTTCGTTCAGCCCTGTTCAGCGTCGACGGGATTTGGAGTTGAAGAAGCTTTCAGACAAGTGGTGCAAATGGTCAAATAAAAAAAAATGAAAGAATTAACATTTATTTGTACGAAATTAGATATTTTCAAAACATTGATTATATGACACGTTCATTTTGAAATAAGTGTGTAAATCCAAACCCCTCCTTACCAACAATAAATCATATTTAATGAGATCAGACCTTTTGGTTAAGTCACTTATTTTATGCGCATGCACAGATCCCAGTTGGAACAACAGCATATTGCAAGCTGCTTAAGAGTGAGTGAAAATTTTAGGCTACTTCCTCTGACACTAATGGATACCACAGGAAACATAAGATACCATGGAGTCTATTACCGTGCATTAGAACCACAGTTGAGTGTACTAATAAGCTACTGTAGAAATTATTTTTACCAGTGTGCAGCCTATCTTCAATTATCAAGCAGAATTCTATTATCTCACTGAGCCCTGGGCATTTAGATTAAACTCTTGGGTTCACAAAGTCTTCATTGATACATCATCAATATCAGCGAATAACAAAGACACAGTCTGCATGCATGCAGTTTGAGAAAAACAACACTTTGGCTGGCGTAATAAAGCGTTGATAAATAATTAAAACAAATAAGTTGTTTTTGAATTATCCATTCCAGCCTGTAGTGGTAAATGTTTATAAGCTGTTAATAATTCGTGATGAATTAAAGAGCCAAAAATGAATTTTCACGACATGGCAACCCCAAAGTTATTCTTATTGATGTTTTATTACTGATTACTAAAGCATCATAATACCTGATTTATTAACATTAGCAATACCATTAATAGAGCGTGCCTTTTTGGCGATACAATCTTTAGCCGGTACAGGGCATGGACGCTTCTTGTATAGATCCGCACAGTCAAGGCTGCTGCAGGGGAAATAGTAGGGCGGTTTGTTTGTGTGTATCTGACATGTCCATTATAGTGAATATAATCTCAAAAGTCGAATGGTGAAACCGTTAATTTATCAAACTGACGTCCTTGTCATGCACATAGCTTGTCCCATGTCGGACTCCGGCCGTCTTCTGCTCCCACCGCACACAGTTTCTTCATATGTCGGCAGGCGTTTGCATTCATCGTATGAGGGCAGCTGAGAAGCGGCAGCTGGCTCCATCAAAGTGCTCGGTGTGCTGTTGCTCTCCACGAGCGGCTCCTGGGACGTGGTGACAGTTGGGTGTCCGCTGTGAGGCGGGGTGAGCTGCTGCCTGGATCTGGAACACAACATTCGCTGGACGAAGTATCCCGCAGCGAAGAGAAGCAGCATAATAAGCACCCCAGAAAGTTTCCGGGTGACCATGGCGATGTTGTAGTAAGTGTTGTCCATGAACTGCTTGCAACAGGTGACGGGGTTGGTGCTGTTCCCCTGCGCGCAGCAGACCTGGTCGTCCCGACAAATGTCCTGTCCACATTTTCGGATGGCATGAACGATAGTGCGAACAAGAAAGCAAACGGTGAACACCGACAGCGCTTGGCATTTGTAGAAAAGCATCGTGTTCAAAGGGGAGAAATTATCGAATGAACCTCGATGGTAGTACCGGAGAGACGATTCACTGAATGCTTTGGCTGAAACGCTGACGCAGAGCCATCATCGACGCATCGCTTAGCCAGAGGTCCGAAAAACACTAAATAAAGGTGACGAACAATCTAAAAACTAAATATGTTCAAATGTTCACCCACTGAATAGCTGCCACACATCACCTCAGTATATTTCGGGCTAAGCCCACAGCTGAAAGTCTCTCTGCAACATCTGGATATGCTAATCCGTTTGACAGTAACTCCTAAGTGTACTTTAATGTGCCCCTTATTTATTATGCACTTAGCGGTTTTATCGATGCCGTCCAGCAAATCGTAAACACAGAACGGCTTATTCCTTGGATAGAAGTAAACAGGCGCCCAGGACATCGACCAGTCCGCTTAGAAGCACTGAACAATGAGCCGAAGATTAATCGTGAAGGTGGGAGGGGACATTAGAACAAGAGGACCCTGTTGTTTCAGGACCAGGGACAGCGCTCAACACCCACTGAGGGAAACAATGGAGGGGCGCTGTCCGAGGTGCTGACACAACCACAAATTACATTTGTTAGATGGCAAAAGGACCAAGATTTTCCATATTAAATATTAATACCAGTGTACATTAAGGGGTCAAGTCAGGGCTTTCCTTAAAAGGCTGCAATGGCTTGGTAGACAGCAGTTCAGTCCGATTCTGTAAGCGCAAAGCGCTGACTCGGTCAAACTGATACAGACCTCGGCACAGAAGTGGCACTCAATAGCAAGAAGCAAATAGGCTTTTCCCCCCCAGAAAATGAAATACAAAATGCGAGAGTTAAGTGACCAACAAACCACCATTTTTTTCCCTGGCACAGACAGCATTTTATATTGCTGCATACACCTCACAATGATTCATCAAAAATGTGATACATGACGAGTAGGCTGTGGGTAGTAATGGAGGGAAGTGCCCTCCATTAGCATGTCTGATTTTCTCCTCAGATCAAAATAGCTGGTATCATGTTAGATGAGTCTTTAGAGTGGATGTCAAAAGGTTGCAGTGTGTATTTGTGTGAAAATACACAAAGGACACACAATGCATCCTTTTGACATCAATTTCTGCTGCTTTGGGTCTAATGACTGTAAGTGCTTAAAACCCAATGCTAATTACATTGCTTGCTAAAGGCATATCAAGTTCTCAGCAAAGAACTAAGGATGCTGGATTTGGTAAATATCAGATATCAAATTATTGAGAGAATTGTAACGCTTGTGTTTTGTGCAGAGCAGGTGAAACAAAAACAAGTTGATGTCAAATATTTATTGGGGAAAAACCTGACTTCCTTTCAGGGAAGGTGGCATGTCAAATGATGTGATTAATCTCTGCATTCACAGAGTTTCATCCAATATGTTTTGTCCCTTACAAGGCAACGATAACCGTCTCCACGGTGCTATGCCGAGTCTCAGGTGGTCCTGTTCTTTGGTGTAAGTACCATTTTGGAGTCTGATGGCCTGGTGTCAGTCTTAATGGATGGCAGCAGAGTAACGGGTCCCAGCTGGACACGGCACTCTGTAAAACAAAATCAGTCAAAAATGTTAAAGGGTTTATTTCAGTTATTTGAATAACTGAACGTTAATAAACAGGTCTATACAAGAACAATTCAGGAACTTAACCTTTAAAAAATATATATTGTGCTCACCAACTGTATATAATGTTAGTATTAAACAGTACTGTATTAAACAGCCACTGTAAAACCATTTAGTTTGCATTGAGGACTTGCAGGAAAAAAGGGAATTTTTCATTGTTGGTGGTTAAAAAGTTTGGGCCTTAAAACTTGCTAAAATGTGAGACATGTTCATGAAGTTAATCTAAAATGCATATAAACTGATGTTATGGAAAAAGACAAACCATATGAAAATCAGTGAACGTTCCATCTGTTGCACTCACCTGGTTTGTACTCGGCACTTCTCTTCATCAATCCAGGGGAGGATCGCTGAGGTTTGCCGTATTGACTCTGGAGCTTTCCTGGCCAAAAACGGAAATAAGTGGCAGGGCGTTGTTCAAGTCTGTCCTCCGGTGAGGGCAATGCTTGGGTGCCGATGGTATTTTTAAGGGGTTCTGTGTGCAGAGGCTCCTCACCCCGATGGGAGATATCACAGCTTCTACATGCCTGGTCGTTCCCATCAATTGAGCTCCATCTGAATAAAGGAGGCGATGTTCAAAACTTGGAGAACTCACGTCTGTAAAATTAGCGAGGTCATTCATAGCGCATTTTATTGACAGGGGAACAGTTTGGGATGCCATGGCATTCAAAGAGGTACAAGTTTAATCCATATTTTCTGACAATACGGCAATAGGGAGAATGGACCATGCATCATTAGTATAATACCTGTTTTCAATTAACGAGCAGGCCCTGTTGTGAGAGCTGACAGATAACGCAGCTGGAACAGCCTTCAGGTAGCAGGTAATGTAGACCTGTGGGAGAGACAAGCAAGCGCTTCGTTAAAGGTGCCATGTATATTAAACAGCATAATCTAACTAATGTTAGTTTAACACCGTTCTATTAAAAAAAAAAATAAAATAAATGAAAATTAACGAACCTGACTGCTGGGCTCCTGGTAGAATCTGAAGGCATCAATTTGAAACCTCAGCTTGTGCTCTTCAACTCTTGGCAGGAAACGGGATTTGGAGTTAGTCAGGTAAGCATCAGCAAGACATCTGTTGGGGCAGCAAAAAGTTGAGAATAAGGACAATTTGCACTATAACAATCTTGGTGGTGGGGTTTAAGATTTGGTTGTGGAGCTCACCCGTGATTCTCAATAAAGTCATATCTTAATGTAGCCTCTGCATTAGGTGTAGCTGTGGCAACACAGTTTTCAACATATACTCGCAGGGGAATGTGATTACCGACGACGGCAGAAGCTTCCAAATGAATGGGGTCACCCAGGAAGTAAGAAGAGAATCCCCTCTGAAACTGCCAATCATCTGTGAAGATGAAAAATCCAAACATTCAATAAACTAATTCTGAAATTCGGTTGCACGACAGGCATCAAAGAGATGCATAACATCTTTAAAAATGCCACAGAAAACTATTCGGAAAACTCTTTACAATAGAAAATATGCTCCAATTATATCCTTCTAGTACCAGTCATGAGTAGCAGATTGAAGTTTATACGATCTTCTGCCGAGACCCTGGAGACAGATGGAACCCAGGTGGGTTGCATGGAAATGGGAGCAACAGCATACCTCCTGAAAATAGACAATTAAAGCTACATTTTGAGATCAATTCTTAGCATAGTTTAAATGCCCAAGAAGGCCATATGCAACCATACAAATCCAAACAGCTGGTTCCAACAGTACTACTGTGAATAAATACATTGCTTACTTTTCATAATGACATTGAACTGGAATAGTTGCTGCATCCAGTCTAAGCAGACCATCAGATGAAGGTTCAGGAGAGTAGACCAGAACATTAGAATAGATGATCTTCTCTTCTGTCGACTGAAAGCAACAATGTTAGTCTTTTCAGAACGTATAAATATACACAGCAAAGACGGGCTTTTAATCCTAAAGTCACTGAACACCGACTTTCTACAAGTTCACTTGAAGCTGCATTAGCATAAAAAGTAGGAACACTTACAGAGAGTTCGGCTCCACAATCCCTCAGGGAGGCCTGGATGGTGAATTCCGCCTCGCCCGATGGGACCGCTCCGCATGCACTCCCTTCACTCAATAGGTCCGAGCCCAGGCGCAGATGTCTGACGTCCACCTGGAGGCCCGTATCAAACATGTCAGCCTGCACCACAACCCGCATCGTGTTGGGGTGGCAGTTGACCACGACAGGTCGAGGCCGCGCGCTGGGCCGCGCGCTGAGCCCCGCGCTTTGCTGCCGTTTGCCCGCAGTCAACTGAGGCTGGAAGTAACCGCGAGTCCTGCTCAGGATGTTGGAGTTTCTTCGGACGCTGGAGCCTCCGCTGGACACTAACCGGACTTCTGTTAGTGTGGACACTGAGATGAGGACGATAAGCCACCAACGGGCGACGTTGCAGTCCATTCTTGGCTTCGGGCAGGTTTGGAAGCAGTCGTCTTGCAGTGTGTGGAGCCACTGCTTTAAGTGGCCAATCAACCTCAAACACACCTGGTAGCAGGGTTTGACTGATTACAATCCAGTTTCTTCTGCTTCTTCTTCTTTTGTTTTTAATGGCGGTTGGTGCATTTTAGGTGCATTACCGCCACCCGCTCATCTGGAGTGTGGACTAAGGAAAGTAATTCTCTAATACGAAAACCAAACACAAAATAAAACAAAATAAAATAAATATAATTCTCAAATTCTATTCACTAGTCTTGTTGACTCCAAAAACTCCAAAAGAGGCTTCCAACACTCTTCACCAAAGCTTTCCTTTAATATATCAGTTATATTCTCCTCTCCCAACTCTCTTAGACCACTTTTTAATACTTCTCTCTCTGCCTCGTACCTCTGGCATGACACTAAAACATGGTCCACAGTTTCCTCTTCATCACAAAATTCACACATTCCATTTTTATGTTTTCCAATAATACAGAGGGAACTGTTAAGACCAGTATGTCCATTCCTTAATCTTGTCATTACCCTCTCCTCTTTTCTATTTCGTCCACTAGGCCCTGCACTCCCAACCAGTGGTTTATTTTTAAACAGATATCGTCCTTTGCTCCCTTTATTCCATTCAGTCTGCCATTTCTTTTTGATTTGTCCCTTAATCACCACTTTAGCTTCTGACTTACTTATATTAAATTTAACAATATTTCTCCCACTCTTCAAAGCCTTTTTTGCTGCTTTATCCGCCTTCTCCTTGCCATCGACTCCAACATGGGCAGGGAGCCACACAAATTTAACCGCTATCCGCATTTGATGGATTCTGAATAGTGCTTGTAATATTTCATACAGTAAATCCTCTCTGCATCTGGAGTGGCACAATTTCAAACTCGTCAGTACACAATCCAGTTTCACTGCGCATGTCTGTTAACAATTACTTGAAACGTGTCAACTTCGAAGTGTTAAGTCATTTTTAGTTCGTGTAAGTATTCACAAACATTAGATGACTTCATATGTACGCATTTTGGTAGCATGGTCCTTTGACTAAGCCATACATGCTATAAGCTATTTTGTTCCACTCGGTGGCGCTACAATTGCATATCATTTTATCTCCGTCGACACTTTGTGAATTAATCTAACTTTAAATGGAGTAAATGTGGAGTAATATTTGTGTTTGTAGTTTTGCTTTGTGGTTTGTCCAAATTACATAGAAAAAACTACAAATATGACAATGATATAAATATCATTGTCATATTTAAAGGATTTTAGTTTATTATTATAAAAACATTTGATATATATATATATATATAAAAACTATGTTAAGATTCTACTAAAAAGATGCTGAATTGAGCATCAGCCAGAGATAAGGCAGCAAATTACAGAGCTCTTTGTAGAAAATATGCAAATACAACATGCTTTATAGGTAAGAGCATTAATAATACAGCTGTTTACACAGCATTTCAGTGTTTTTGTTTTACCACCTTTTAGTTATGGTATAAGTGCAGGAAATGGTCTCCCCCACGAAAGAGCGTTTTTTTCTCCCTTTTGTTTCCCACCACCTCTGAAACCAAACCAACACCCTTGTGTGTAGTGTAGTACAGAGACACGCAGCCTTTATGGGTTCCTTGCTGGTCATTCAGCATTTCATACATATTTTGTATTCTTATGAATTTACAAAGTATTGATGATTTGAACACATTTCTGCTTGTGTGGTGGGCTTTGTGAAATAGGATTAGCAGTATGATAAGTGTTTTGCTCAGTGAGCACTGTATGGTGCTAAAATATATTATTCTTGTTGTCATCATCACATGTATTCCGATGTCCCGTCTCGCCTGTGTCTGACACTCATCAAGTTTTTCTCACACGTTTTCAACGTCATAGGTCTCTCTCAACCTCAGCAGCCACAAATCTCAGTTGTGCCAATTCGACTGAACACGTAAAGGAACGCAAATTGAAACGAAAAGCTATATTTCACTTTCAGTGAGGTTTTCAAAACAGCATTAATACGAAAACAAAGCGGCCAACAATAGCAACTGAAAGTTGAGCTGATGTGAACATATATCAGTTCATTTATTGGAACCATCACATTTGTAAACATGTTCAACAGAGAGTTTCACATCCCTCTGAACATCAAAAGACTTTTGACTGTCACCTGATAGTTGATAGTAAGTTGATTATTGACACTGGACTTTCCATTTGAAGTGTAAACAAACACTGCATTGCATTTTGTCAGCATAACTCTCACAAAGCTCAAAGCTGGTGGTTACAGGAAAATACAGTCAGGTGGATAGTATAGTCCACTGTTCAAAGGAAATCCCATTTTTAGGGATTGAAAACCATCATTAATGAGAACTCTTCTGAATTAGAGCAAATTCAGATATTCCTGCAAATCATATTGTTGTTTTGTGGCTGCAATAGATCTGTATAAAGAGAGAAAGTCCAATGACTGACTTTGAACCATATTTATTAGCGTTGACTATGAAATGTTGTCAAAGAGTATATTATCACACAGTAACACATGAACTGAAATGTAAGTGAAGACAAGTGAATAAATGAATGATGAGTAAGCAGAATTTATGCAGGATAAATAAGTTTATTTATTTTTCGTGATTCTTGGAACCAAATGAATAACACAACAACAAATAGTTTCAAATAATATCATCATTGATAAATAAATAATATATAGTCTGTAAATACACTTTATAAATAAGTACTTTAACACATCATCTTGATGTAAAATATAAGTTACATGACTACGTCAATAATAAATATGTGCTCTTAAAAAGGGATAAAGTAGACTGGAGTGTTTTTTAGATTATTTCAATGTAACATGAACAGTTACTGTAGCTTGTGTGATCTATGTGTGAAGTGGTTCTGTATAGCTTTCTGAAACTACTCTATCCGTTGGAGCTCTATGTCTCATTTAGTGTGATCACCAGAGTTCATGTATGAAATGGCTCGGTTTATTGTGATGCTGCGCACCCGGAAGCCCTTCAGCACTTTGCAGAGGCTCAGTCTTTCTTCGTAGGTGCTTTTACGCTCTGCAGCAGCCTTAAAGAGAAACACAGAGGAATTATGAAATCATTTATTATAGCTTATTTATTCTAACTATGACTGTTTAAAGTTTGAATTCTCTTTTCAATCTTTGATTCCTTAACAAACAGAAAAAAAGGGCACATGTTTTTAGCACTGTGGGTGAATTATCTTAAATCCTGGTTATGACGTGAATTAAGAGATCTCTTACCTCCATTGAGGCCAGGTCCGTTGGCAGAGACCAACTGAAGCAGTTCTGTTGAGAGCAAATGTCTTTCATGAGCAATTCAATGTTTCACAAGATATGGCTATTCATCTAAACTCTGGGAGTTGATTGCGGTCATTCAGTTATCTCTTAATATCGGTGAGTGTTGTGTAAAACTGTACCTCCATGATCTCTCTGAGCCTGAACAGAACAGTTGGACCCAGTAAACTGTCAGGGTCCGGCTGAGCGGCGAGGAATTTATAGTAGTGATGCAGATCCTCCCCAATGTTTGTCAGACATGACTCCTGGAAGGAAAAACAGCAAAGACAATTGTCAAGACAACATAGAGAGTGTGTATACACTCACTGTACAATCTAATGTAGCCCTGTTGTGACATCCATTGTTTTGAAGCTCATAATGTTCAGTTTTTGTTGATACTGTCAGAAATGTGTAAATCCAATGAGATGTTTATTATTGAGGTCATACATTACATCGAGAAGTGTTTCTATTTTTGGTACTATTTACATACTGGACATTAGAAACACCTCATCTTATTCTTATTCAGTCCTGTACAACACTATCTCGAACTGACCTACAAAGGCTAAAACATACACCCCTGATTAACACCGATACGACCGTTAGAAATTAAACATTATAGGCGTTATAAAAGTACACTAAATGGCAAAAATATTTGTCGGATTGCATTAGATGATCTAGGTGTACCTAATAAAGTGGACATTGAGTGTACATATAAACGGTTGTTTCTTCCTAATTTAATGTCTACATTTAAAAGTCTGACAAAGATAATTCATCGGCTTTTTAAAAGAAGAAAATATGTGTTCTTAATACATTTTTCACAGAGTCAGAGCACAACAACCTACCTGATCAAATTCTGACTTGACTGTTCCTGAGCATGTTGATTCCTGTGGGACAAACAAAGTTCAATTTGAGGTAATGCAGCGATGCAGCCACAAAATATACATGGACATGAATACGTTTTTTATAGTAGTTATTTTGTTTTTAACAATAATAATAATTTTCATAACTTTTGCCATCTCTCAAATTTGAAATACATACATAAAATAAAATCATTCAAAAGAAAACGTTATTTTCATTCTACCTTTGGTGCACACACAGATGGCGTGTTGGTCTCTAGGTTCAGCTCCACACTCTGATTGATGCAGTCGATTCCAGTGAACAGTTTATTCTAACACATGGGAAGATTATGTTTTGAACCTTAATTAAATAAAATACACATTAAGGATCACATCTTATAAGTAAATTAAGTTTTGTTGGCATACCTGTGTGAGTGTGTCAGTGATGTTCTGGAGAAGCATCTGTGCGTATACAACACAGGATTCAGTCAGCGGTCCTTTACGCATCACTGGCACAGACTGGCTGACCTGAGGACAGGTGAGCATGAGGAGCAGCAGGACAGGAGTGAAGTCTGACAAAAAAAACAACAACAGAGTTAAAATATAGTAAAACTACAGTTTCAACTACTTTGTTGCAAATAGAAAATACTGTTCAGTCAGGTTTACATAATACTCACAGAGCTTGACGAGAGGCATCTTGGATAAGACTTCTGAGTCTTCAGTGTAACTGATTCAACTCAGACATCCTTAAGTGTTTTATACCCAAGCTGATGCAGGGGTTTTCCTCAACATACAGCAGTGTGTTCACACCTAACTGTAAATTGGAATTGTACAGTCAAGGTTGTGTAATTTTCCCCCATAGCACCAAATGCTTTGGTGAAACTGGAATTAACACAGAGTGATGAGTAATTGAGCTTCACTCTGGTTACTCAACTGTTTACTGTTGACATTTCAAGAGTGAAAGCATTATGTTGTATGCTATTTCACACTAATCCTGCACATTCATGCCTAACATCTGTTCAATATCTGTCATGTCCAGTGTATCAATAATCACAAACAAAACATACTTAATTCTATTCAAGTGTCAGACAGAAAAAAACACATCAATTGACTTCAACGTCTAGTACGATCTGATATAAGTTAAAAATGCCTTTTATTAGATAGGGATTCTTTATCAATTAATTATATATGATTTTTTTTCATGTGGTCCTGTTAGCCTCCTCGGATCATGACCTCCAGCATTCACTGGGGCGGTTTGCAGCCGAGTGTGAAGCGGCGGGGGATGAGAGTTAGCACCTCCAAATCTGAGGCCATGGTGCTCTGCCGGAAACCGGTGGATTGCTCCCTCCAGGCGGGGACGGAGTGCCTACCTCAAGCGAAGGAGTTCAAGTATCTCGGGGTCTTGTTCACGAGTGAGGGTAAGATGGAGCGGGAGATCGACAGACGGATCGGTGCGGCTGCAGCAGTAAAGCAGGCGCTGCACCGGACCGTCTTGGTGAAGAGGGAGCTGAGCCGGAAGGCAAAGCTCTCAATTTACCACTCGGTCTACGTTCCTACCCTCACCTATGGTCACGAACTCTGGGTCGTGCCCGAAAGGACAAGGTCGCGGCTACAAGCGGCCGAAATGAGCTTCCTCCGTAGGGTGGCCTTAGAGATAGGGTAAGGAGCTCAGTCATCAGGAGGGAGCTTGGAGTCGAGCCGCTACTCCTTCGTGTCGAAAGGAGTCAGCTGAGGTGGTTCGGGCATCTAATTAGGATGCCTCCTGGACGCCTCCAACTGGAGGTTTTCCAGGCACGTCCAACTGGGAAGAGACCCCGGAGAAGACCCAGAACACGCTGGAGGGATTACATCTCCCAGCTGGCCTGGGAACGCCTCGGGATCCCCCAGAATGAGCTGGAACATGTTGCCGGTGAGAGGGAGGTCTGGGTCGGCCTGCTTGGCCTGTTGCCACCGCGACCCGACCCCGCATAAGCGGTGGAAAATGGATGGATGGATGGATGGAGTTTTTTCATTGAAAACAGTGTTTGTTTAATAAGCTAACCAGAATGTCGTGTCATGTTTTCCATATATGTATAAAATGTGCTTTATTCATTTTTGTGTGAAAAAAATAGAAGTATTTCTTGCTATTTGACATCAAAGTTTAAGAAATCTATTTTCCAAACAATTAAAAAATTCTGGGCAGCCATCTGAGGTGGAAATTATGCATTGCTTCTTGCACAGTAGTTCAAGCGAGTTGAAGTATGTGTAAAATGTTAATTTTAAAAAAACAAGTTGTTTCAGTTATATTTTAATACTGATTATAGTAATAATCCAATAGTAGTTCATTTGGATCAACTGATCAGTGTAACTGATGGGACTATTTCTGTCCCCGCAGTCAAGAGTTGTTCCCCTTTTGCTTGTGGTAATCCTCCATAAAAAACTCAGTTACATAAGTGTCAACACAAGTGTGAATGAGCAGAGAAACTCGACTGCACTTCTGCAACTCTGAGGTTGAATTATGTGAATGAGAGCAGACACGATATGCTTTCCCAAGCATCACTCGGATGAATCAATTTCTATGTTAGTTTTGTAATGATTTAGTTTTACAGGGCACAAACACCGAAATGCAAATGAACTCTCATGAAAACCATCCAAATATAAACAAAGGTCACACACTTGAAACATTTATTACTGGAGTTTTCATTTTACAATCATCATACATTACATTTATCACTGAAGCATATTAGAAAAGAAAGTTTGACTTTGTGTTAAATAACATTCTTAAAAAGCTGAGAGTGAAAACACTTACAGACAACAAGGCATGTTCTTCATCCTTTTAATAAATTATCTTTTAACATTTACATACTGGACGTCCATAAATCCTCTGAACAGATAAATTATATATGTTTAGGCTGTGATTTATTCATATATATATTTTTTTCTTGTTTACCCTTTTTAAGCATTAGTAAATTGGGCACAACAAAAACGACTTTGAATATTTTTTTTATTTAGGGGCTGTCATGCCTCCACTTTTGCTTTTTTTTCTATCCCTATGTATTAACCAGTAAAATCTTTTTAAACCATTTCATGTCATTTTGTGTATTTTACCGAGTACATAAAGGCATTTGACAAATACAAATTTGTCGAAATGAAGTTCAAAATGTTGAGTACAGCTCTGTAATGCATCTTTAAAGCAGGTGGAAACTGTAGCAGCAATCCAAATGACAAGACCTCAGTGAAGTTGCTACAGCACTTGAACACCACTGTGAAGCTAAGCTGCAAATCTGCTCAGTGTTCATCATCTTCTGTTTGCAACAGCTCAGGGAGTAGTAGGTGTGTAATAGTGAATTTCAGTGATCAACAGCAGTGACACAGTGCCCCTAGTAAAAGTAATGATAAATAGGTGAAGAGAGCATGTCTACAGATGAACTGATCAATCTCTTGATATACAAACAAAAGACAAAGTGCAGTCAGGTGTGGCCCCTAGAAGTCATCAGACAACGGAGAAACAAGGCGTGCAGGTGCTCTCTCTATCCCAGAATTAACATGAGTGTACCGTGCAAAATCATGAAGCGGTAAATCAGGGTTAGGGAATGCAATTACGTTGAGAGGATTTCCCCCTAGCTCTATAAAATATATGGCATGAGTAATCAGGCTGAGTGAAAGGGAAAAGCCTGCAAAAAACTCAACAGTGTCCACACTGAAAGCAGCGACCACTCAGCTTCTTTTAGATGTCCTCTGACCTTTGACAACATTCTGTGGCGCATTACATTTATGTCTGTGTGTCAACACTGGGTACATGGTATATTCATTTCTCCGAAAAACAGTCAGCACAGATGAAGTTTCATTGGTAACACTGGTGACAGTCCACGGAGCAGGAGGTAAGATGGCGTGCAGACGGAGTCCTTTATTTAGAGATAGCTTTCTCTGCCTGGTGCCGCTGATGGCTGTGAGCGTGCCTGTCGCAATAGAGACAGGTAGTACGTTAGAGCGGTGGAGAATTTGACAGATATTTTCAGATAGAAAGACACAGAACAGAGAGGTGAGAGAAAAGGGTGATTCACCTGGTGAGGTCCTCTATGTCCACCAGCATGGCGTCCTGCTCCACATGCAGCTCGTCCCTCATCAACAGCAACTGCACCAGCTCTCCATTTAGACCTGTGTTCAGTTGATGGACGTGATTAGTTTTTAAATTCTGATATCGTAAAGAAACATGTTTTTCCCCATGGGGAGGACAGGTATGTTTGTATCATGTGTGTGTATGTGCATCTGCGTGTTTGATCCACTCACTCTGAATTTGTGAGTGTAAGTCATTTGTGATGACCTGCAGCTGTCCTAGACTCATGTCCCTCATGTCCCCTCGCCTCAGATTCCTCTTCATCAGGCCCTCGCTGATGTGGGGCAGATGGGGAAGCTGCATATGTAAATACACATGGACAGGAAATTACTGAAAGTCAAAATGTGCAAAAACGGACCAGAATTTGAATAAAGACTGAAACTGTTTTATTGGATATTAGTCAAAGTCAACTTGATCTATCTGGGTTTGCAAACGTCAAAATCATTTGTTCATAGTATCGGGGGTTTTCTCCTGGTCACACACACACACACAGTTATAAAAACTGACTGACCTTCTATTCAGCGAATGCAAGTCCCTTATGTCATTTTAATTGTGTTTACTGTAACAGCACGTTATAGTAAGTCATTCTATTTCCACTCTTTTTCCCCCTTCACATATGGTTATTTTATTGTCCTGGATCATCTCCTAAAAAGTATTTTTCAAAAGAACAGTGACTAACTCTCAATGACTAACCAAGTCAGCCACGGGTGAACGTCTGTGCAGTTGGATTTGCCTCTCCACCTCCACCTGCATACGGGCCATGGGTCGAGCCAGAGCCAGAGCCACCCGGGCCTCCTCCTGCAGCCTCCGCTGCACCCGCCAGAACCCCCCGCAGTCATCTAGCGGGTCTGAGTCCTCCTCCGCCGTGTCCCGGTCCGATAGCGATGAGCTCTGCTTGCTCTGGCGACAAAGAAGTGTAATTGATATCGTCAGGTGACAGCCAAAACGTTCTCACAAGTCGTTACTGCAAAGCAGTGAAAAGAGGGAGAAACACACATGCAGCACGTGCACAAAAGCACAGAGACTATAGAAGTTGTGCATACCACAGGTGACAGCGGTGTGTCCAGACTGGTCTCTGTCCTGCTGTCCTCAGCATCGCTGTCTTTGTCGCTGCTGCTGTCATTGACAAAACACACCTGCAGGTTCACCCCAGTCTGCAGCCTGAGAGGAAAAACACAAAGAGTGAGAGAGGTAATGTTGATTTTTAGTTAGAGACACTAGAAATGTCTTATAGAGAGAGAGAGGGAAATTACTGATTGATTGTTCTGATTTTGTTTACAAGCAAACTCAATTTGAATGACAGAAATCACATTAGGTTTGTATTTTTCTTCTTAACAAGGTGATCCGAAAAGATATATTTACAGAATTGTGCTGATACGATTATGAAGAGGGAAAAGGGTAAAGGCCAGGAGATATTTGGACACTAAAATGAATAACAAACAACACATTTAATTAACCATTTTAATTTGCAAAAGAAGCTAAACTATCATCAAAAGGTGTGGCAGCTCTCTATACTCATCTGTACATCACGTGCCAGATTCAACGGGGAATCAGCTGGATTGTTTTGTATGAAGAGCACTGCTGTGTCTTTTTAATCACAAGACAAAAGGTGACTGTTGACTCTCACTCCCGTTTAACACACTACATATTATTTCAAGAAAAGCCCATCGTTTTTTAAGATGCTCAACAAGTGGTCATGGGAATAATGACAGGGAGGGGTAATCAATAGCAAATACAATTCAGCAAAAAAGATAAATTGATGTGGAATAATGTCAAAATAATTACTGCTAATAAGGACATCCCTGTCCATATACTTTTGGTCTGAGGGTGTCTTTCATGGTTTGGGCGAGGCCCCTTCATTCTAATTACGGGGGAATCTTAACCCTACAGCATATAATTAAATGTTATGACACAATAGTGTGCTTCCGACTTTGTCGCCTAACAGTTTGGGGAGAATCCTGTCCTGTTTCAACATAAATGAGCTCACAGCTAACCCTATCCAGCATCTTTATAGCGTCAGGATCAACTGGAGCCTCGACTGCAATCCTGTGTTTATCGCCCAAATGTTAGGGCCCAACCTGACATCACCGATGCTAATGTGGCAATCCCTGAAGCGTCGTTCCAAAACCTTGTAGAATGCCATCCCAGAAGACTGGAGGATGTTATAGCAGCATATCTATGCTAAAGATTTTGAAATGATACGTCAAACAAGTGCACATGGGCTGTGTTTCGGTGTCCACGCACTTTTGGCCACAGAGTGCAGTGATGTCAGTGATGTCTCATTCTGTGACCTAATGAAGGTGGATCAAAAGCAATGCAATGCTTTCATGAAACAAATTAAGCCACAAACATAACATCAGGCTGTCCGCAGCAGTTGCACCTCGACCTCAGCCTTTCCAGGAGCTCAAATCACTCAGTTCCAGATTATGATACTCTGACTGAAAGAACCTAACAACCCAAAGTAACCGACCCCTTACACCGGGATGAGAACAATAGTGGAATTTCCACTCCAAACTAAAGTTCAGAAGGTGCACCCTCACCTCCAAGAGAGATCACATGACTCCAATTCCACCTATCACAGCGGCGCACTTATATCAGGCGTCACTTCTTCTTTCAGGAGCATTAGGGCCACAGACAGAACTTCACTTCCTCAAACAGCAGCCAGTAGCATAAGGGGGCAGCCCCCGTCATTTGATGTAAACGCTCCCTCTAGTGAAAAAAATCAAGTCACTGGAGGTCAACGCTGGCATGAAAAGAAAGCAGAATGGTGCTGTGTAGTGGCTTTTGTTAACCAGCTTGTGTCTGATGTAATGCAACTCCACTGCGTGTGTGTGCATGCCCCCAAAACCTCAATTTCAAATGTGAAATACCAATTCCGTGGGAAGATAATTTCGTCTAGTTTGTTTTCATCTGTCATCAACCTATAATTTCGCACTAATACCTAGTCACTGCATACTTGCCCTGTCTGTCAGATTGCGGCCCTTTTGGTTTCACCTGTCTTCTGTAATATAAAGTGCATTTATGTGGTCATGTTTCAACTGTTTGTGCTGATTGCATGCTGGTGTCTTCTATGATATGATTTTATGTTGTCTATTTTTAAATGCTTGTACTCCTCTAAGCTTTTTATCCTGTTCAGCTCTTGAGAGCATGTTTTGCTTTCGCCTGTTCTAATTGATCTGATATACATTTTGTGTTTCATTTGTTGTTTTAATGGAAACATTTTGACATCAGGCCGAGGGTCAACAGTTGAAAATGAGCCTTTTGTAAAACACTGCACATTTACAGTGATGTTGATCGATATACATCGGCCTCGAGAATAAATAAATAGAGAAATATTGGAGTTGGAATTGTCTCGAAGACTTAAATATACAAATATTTTTAGATAAATCCATAACTTTAACTTTATTTTTATTCCATGACACAATGCTGTACAGGCGATTAGCAAACTAAAATAAATAGAAAAACAGTAAATTGATGGAAGACTAATGCACACAAATTTTCTGAATGATCATATATCATAAATACTACTGAAACTAAAAATGATAATAATAAAAAATCTATAATAAGATTTCTCCCACCAACTGCTACAAAAAATATTACATGTCAACAGAACAATTTTTCACATATATATATATATATATATAAATATATCACGTAACAGACTTATCACGCAACAGAGGTTGACCACTGTGCCACCTCCGCTGCGCCTGCTCTTTCCATATACCACTTCCATTGTTCTGCTGCTGTAAATTGTTATGTCCAATGTCAGTTCCTTTGGAATGACTGACAGCACTGTGGCTTTCAGGGAAACCTCTCGTTTTTTTTCGGCATGTCTGTCTGTTATGTTAATCACTTGTTCTCTTCCTCTGTTTGTTGCTAACATAAACACAGACAAACGGGATAAATCCACTTACAGTATTTACTCAACCTTCTGTTATTGCACAAAGATGCACCGTCTATTACATGACTCACTGTTTCTAAACGGACTTCAGCAAAAGACCTGCTGTCATTTACTGTATTTGCACACGACACCTATGAACCAACGAGCCAATCCAATAAGTTTTATCTTTCTGATTTGTGTGTTTTGGGGCTCATAGTTCTTAGTTAGTAGATGAAGCTGAATAACTGAATAGCTTCCTTCCCTGGCTGTTAAATAACGATCATATCTGCGATGTAGACAGAGTTCAAGCTGTTGCAGATGCTACAAAGCTGTCCTCTCAGAACCATGTCAACTTTCCAAGAGCTATGAAAAACAGCACAGGTCTGCTTTTGTTTCTTTGATAATCAAAAGCGTTTTAAAATATTTTTCTAGATTAAGAAGTAAGAGAATTTCCTCAACATTATAAAAGAGCACAATCAAATTCATCAAATATGGAGAAATATTCATTGGACAGTGACGCTTCTAAAGACAGTGTGTGTGTGCTACATACATGCACTAATATACACACAAAAGAGGGTCAGACGGATATCGTTTGGTTTGCCAACATGATGTGCAGGTATATAATTAAATGCCTTGTCATAACGTCTATATGAGAAGGTTCCTTACATAGGCAACATGTGAAGTCTACAAAACCTGATATTAAGTTGTGTATTCAGTCTTAGAAATACATTAATAACGTTGTCTGTGTATGAATAATTAATTCAACGTAGGGCGTATCTCACTGTTTCCCAGCTATCTATCCAAGAATAACTTCTGGAAGAACATCTAAAGACCTCAAGTGTCAGCTGTGAGAAGCTAAGACACAAATATATTGCTGCCAGCCTTCAGAAGCCTTCATTGATCAAACCCTAACAGACTCTCTCTCACACACACACACACACACACACACACACACACACACACACACTGGATCTAAACCCACCGGGAGGACAGGCCATTCTTGCTGCAGCTGGTGTAGATGACTGGCTCGTCGTCATAGAAACTGCCAAAGGCAAGTTTCTGCCTGATGGACTCTCTCTCGTTCCTCTGGGCCTGCCAGGAAAAAAAAGAGGAAAATACATGAATATGAAGAATATTATTAATAGTGCTGCTAATGCTTTAGTTCCATCAGAGCGGGACACACAAGCGAGAAGAGATATTAAGCTGAGTGTGTAGAATGCTATTTAAATTAAGGGTATGAATACATGTATTATACCAAATGATAATGCACTTTCTGGTTGAGAGGAGGAGGAGGAGGAGGAGGAGGAGGAGGAAGGACAAATAGGGATTACGTAGGCAAAGGTATGGAAAGAAGGGAGCAAAATCATGTAACCCAATTTCCTGCCGCTCACACGGATAACCTAGCTGTGGGCTCATATGTGGCATTGCATAAATATGTTACTAACGAAGCTTAGCTAACATATTTATTATAATAAGTTCCTTCTATTCTACTCTATCATAAGCTTAGATAACAGGTACAGACATCCCTCCTTACATAACACTTGTTTCTGTCTCTAAATAATCAGCTAACCCTAAAAACATCAGGTCTGAATCATCGGTACAAAACTGTTTCATCCCACCATACACAGAAAACTGAATATCCTGGTCCTCCTGTTACACAAGCGCTACGATAAATACTGGACTGCATTTGCAATTAAAAAGGCACATCTGGCCGATTCAGATGGTCTGATTTCCTCCCACAGTTCAGAGACATGCAGATCATGTAAAATGGAAACTCTCAGTTTTGCATTTGTCTCTCTCTCTCTCTGCGTTTGCTCTGTTATAGACTGACAACTTGAACACCTAAACAAGAAAAGAATATCCATACTGTTTATATGTGTTACATGCCATTAAAGTAATTCTAACCTAATACAGCAATCTTTATGGTCTTTGGTTAATATTTGTAACCACAGGACTATAATTGATGTAAGACATCAATAACGTTAACAATATCTTTTGTAATAGTTATAAATGCTGTGCCATCCACCTCGTGCTGATGATTAAACACTGCATCATTCTGCTCTGTTTGCCAACTTCCTGTATGTCGTTAATCTCTCCTCAGTCATTTTCTCTCTTCTCCTCCTGTTTGGTTCATTTCGACCAGAAACGTTGTTTTACTTCTCAGCATCTAGAAGTTTCACTGTCCTCATTTTCATTTTGTCCCCTTTCCTCCTCCTCCTCCCCCTTTTCCTTCTTTTTACGTCCTACCCTGAATCGTTTTATCCTTTCAATGTATCTCAGCTTCCAGTGTAGCTGCTCCTAATTTAATTGTTGTCAACTAAGAATATTTTTAGGTCATTTGAGCTGTATGAGTTTCTGGTACACCGGTCCAAATCCAAGTCTTGAAGTCTCTCAGTTTTTGTCTTTAAATACTGAACAAAATGTTGCAGCATGACATGATTTTCAATTTTGGCACCATACGGAAAGTGTTTTTATAGTGTGGGATTATGCCAAGTGCCCATATGTCCCAATAATGCATACTGTGTGAGTGTGTGTGTGCCTGTTACACACTGCCATTGAATACCACCTATATGTCAATATTCTCTCTCTACCTAAAAAACAGCCCAACACCCTCTCTCCTTTCTTGTGACGCATCATGAGGCTGTGATGTATAAGAGCATCACAGCTGAACGCCTTCCCTCTCCCAACCAACGCTCTGCCTCCTGCTCGTCAGACAGCTGGTTCAGATGTCCTCCTTAACAGCCGACTGTCTACACACACACACACACACACACACACAACCTATTTTACACTCCCAGAAGAGGGAACGTGGTAGAGGAAAAGCACTTCATGGTTGCTGTAAATGATGGAGAATGATTTAATTTGTGGAACGGAACAAAGCACGTTACATGATTACACACGTATCCATCAAATGAGCGATATCAAATTTGACTGAGGACATGTAAAAACACAGAGAAACCCAGGTGAAGATCACACATGAGCACACCCACGTCACCTCACAATCACGCTCACCCATTATGTGTGACTCATCTACAGCAGCTCGCCCGCGATGGATACCCATCATGTGTACCTGTGAATATTATCCTACACCCTCAGAATCACTAACGCATACAAACATCAAAATCCACACACCTGGTAAACGCGTTTCTCCTGGTGCACCATCCTTCAGCGCATCGTACTGAAACAGCCGCCCTGCCCTTCTCTACACTGCAGTGAAGCTAGACCCGGGAGACCCTCTCATATACTGCAGCTCCGTGCAGGAGAGTAAGGGAGGGAGGGTGGAGAGAGCAGTGAGGGGAAGGGGAGGGGAGGGGAGGCAGCAGAGAGAGGAGGGAGGGATGGTGGGGATGTGGGAGCAGGAGAGGAAAGAGTGGGAAGAGACGGAAGCAGAGGAGAGAGAAATGGAAGGGAGAGGGAGGGGAGAGGCAGAGCTGCTCAGTGCTCTCCTGATCTGTTATCTGTTCCTCCATCTTCCTCCCTTGCTTTCCTTCTCCTTGCTTCTCCTCTTCATCTTTCTTTTGAATCAAAGCTGCTAGAAATCTGTGCCCTGATAAGAGGAGACAGGTCTAAAAAGATTACAGAAATAAGGGCACATGATTGGTGATGTATGATATGATGGGCTAAAGGTCCAGGCTAAACATAGCATGATAAATGAGACTGCAACACTGGAAAACAAAACCATTAAAAAAAAGGCTGATCAATAACAGCTCCTTTAATAAATGTCAGCTCTTTTGAGCAGCCCCGACATGGCGTCTGCGTCTGCTCGTTGACCCAAAGCGGAGCCATGCATTTGTAATTGCACGTTATCCGTTTGTTTTGCCTCCTTAAGGAGTCTCCTCCAGCTCCATTCCACATCACAGATTCAAGCGTGCTGAGCCGTAAGAGAGCCAAAGAATCACAGGGGAGTACGTGCCCACACGTGCGAAAAGAGAAAACATAAACACAAACACACACACACACACACACACACACACACACACACACAAACACACACAGTTAGTTCCCACAGTGCTGTGTCACAATGCAGCAGTGGGCTTAAAATGGGATTAAACAACATAACATTTTGAGTCATCTTTCATCCTTCATCAGGATCAGAGGCCAAATATCCTCAGCCCTCCTATTCCACTCATTTCTCTAACGCACACACGTCATAATCACGTACTGTATGTATAGAAACAAGATATTCATCGATTTTTTTAACTTGAAGTTGTTTGTGTTTTTTTTATTATTCTGAGAAGTGTGTTTGTTTTTTTGAAGAAACCATGACTTTTGCTGAATCGCTGGGGGGATGCAGTGGGATCTGTCAGAACAAATGGACTCAGAGGGAGTAATTCAGTGCTTGTGTGTCTCAAATAGAAAGAGAGAATGACAATCACTCACAGAGATGCTGGACAGTCTAGTTCGCCCTCCACTGTAACAGTCGGCTGCCTGTGGCGCAAAGATATCCTGGAGCTCCTCGGCCCAACTGCGGCTGTTTACCATGCAGCCCCTTCCTCCTGTCTGGTGCTGTGTGTCACCTCCACAGTCCTCCCACCAATGGCCTGTTGTGGCCTTTCTCATGAATACCTCGCCCTCCTCTTCCTCATCCATGTCCACATCGTAATCCTCCATAAAGACACACTGTATGGAGAGGGTGGAGCAAATGCCAGGGTTGGGGGAGGGACTAAGGGCCCTGGCTGGGAATATGAGACTGAAGACATTCAGAGGCGGGACACAGATCTCAGACTGAAATCAAACGCTTGAGTGCTGGCTGTGCTAATCTCTTTAATCTCCATGGTATCTTTATGTTTACTGGGATCAAGCAAACAAATGAGATTAATATAATTGCAGCATGGGCTTAAACATGAAATTATAGCAATATTCATAATATTCATCATGTAGATGCTATTCCTACTCTGATTTCTCTGTCTCTGGTCATGCTTTTTTAATTTAGTCTGTAAGAACATTATTCAAAAAACTAATTCTATCAAACTTGCTGAACCACAAACGCATAGCGTGGTCTTCCATCCTAACGTCCAATCACTGGTCAAATAAAAAGCCAAATCATATATCGCACATGCTGTACAGGACTCACCTGCTTTGTAGAGTGCAAAACATTTCTTAAGATTCTTGAAATAAAAATTCAAAAGCAGAAATCATTACAAAACAGATATTAGCACAGTGTTGCATAAAAGGACAATTGCTTCTCCCAAGCTGGACAAAGACTGTACGATGACTCCCAAAGGGTGCATTTCAGGATCTTACAATCCTCCACAGAATCGTGGTTATTCCTGATCTCAGTGCTCCATAGTTCTAGCTGACTAACCTCCCAGAACTCTAGTAAACGAAAAAAATACAGTCACGCACCCTTGCTCTCGAAGTCCAGCATCACAGCGTTCTGTTGTGACGTATGGCTAAGTTTCAGTGATGCATGTAGATGTGTGTGTGTGTCCATGGTCACATGGTGCAAAGAGGAGAAAGCACCATGTGGAAATATATAGGAACAGACAGAATGGGGTGTGCACGCTGTATGAGTGTAGAGGAATTCATTTTTATAAGATCATATCTTGTAAGCTGCCTACCATTGAATTATTTCGTCGTACAATTACACACACACGGGCCATGCCAAGAGGTTTAAAAAGGGGAATAATATTTGCACTACAGATGAATCACGAATGAAAAAGTGCTAAACATGTTTATTGAATGCTCAGTATCACCGGCCCCTGAAAGAAAGCAGGACGGACAGAAGCTTTTAAATTCACAAGAAATACATTTTAAACCTAAAAATAAAATCCCATTCCATACCATTCTGGGTTACATGTGTTTATAGTTTTTTTCCAAGTCAAATTGAAGAATTGTTTTTGCCTGTTGAGAGTGGAAACCAGGGCACAGTTGGCAAATATTGAAGCCTGGATGTGGGTTCGCGTGAGCCTGAGGTCCAGATTTGTAGCCAGCTGGAGCCAGCATGTACTTCTGGTCATCCGCAAGTTTGACAGCCTTGTTGTTTGAAAAGTATGGAGCAAAGTGGAGCTGGTAGTAAGGAACATATGGACTCATTGGGCCTTGATAGCTGCTACTGCTGGGTTTTGTTGTTTTAGCAGTAGGAGTAACGGTGGTTGCTGGCTTTGACATACATGGCGGTTTTGAAGTGGGAACTGTGTCACCTGGCTTAACAGTTGGAGGCAGAGTAGTTTGCATTGGTTCCTTTGGATTTTGTGGGTATGGAATGTTGGATAAGTGGGTAGTAGTAAATGGGGAATCCTGGCATCTGTTAATAATAAGGGTAATAGCGGTAGTACGGATAAGTAGGAGGGGGGTTTCTCTGTCGATGGCTTGGTAGTTAGGGTGGTTGTGTCAGGGGCTTGTGCCGGAGTCATCATATGCATGTAATAGTATTACAAATAAGAATAAAATGCACTGCTATGATCATAGATGGAAAGGGGCTGGGTCGTATGGCGCTTAAGGCTCCAGGAATTTAGAGGGAAAGGAAGTCTCCAGGGCTACCGAGCAGGCTTTGGTGTAGTCGAAGCAGGTGTTGTGGCAGATCTTCTCGTCATGGGGACAGGTGACTTTAACTGGAGTATCCAAAAAACTCATAGGCAACACATAATTTCCATCCTGAAACAAGAATCTGCAACTAGCTTAGCTGATGAGACACTTAACCTCAAGTTCAGTGTTTGTAAAAGTTGTCTTGGCCAATAAACTCATTCTGCATTCATTGACATTTTGTTGAGCGATACAACACTTCTACTCTAAAGCGTCAATCTTCTAATGGCTTATACATTTGTCACCATGTAAAGCTCTCTTAGTGTTTTAATTATGAGTACACCTCTTGAATCAATTTGCAGCCATCATAGGGAACAACCAAAACAAGGCCCAGGGAATTTTGCCGCATCAAATAGCCACAAGTTTCAGGCCCCTGGATCGAAAGGAGAAAACACATTACTCTGTGCCATGTGCCTACAGCTTTAATATAAACTGACATACAAGGTTAGTTGTGTTACAATACCCATGCCCAGCTGTGATTCAGCAGCTCTGGGCTCCATGGCTTTCAACGTTTTCTTGCTTTGCCCACAGTGCAGAGAACAATCCGAGCTCCCCCATGCTGCTTCATCAGCCATGTTGTCCGCCAGCTGTGGTGTCTGCTGCAACATCACTTTAGGAAATAAGAAGTCCAGATACAAAGTTAATGCTGGTCATTTCCCTTGGTTTGAGTACAATGTACGCATGCGCTGATATATCAAATTATCAGATAACTGGACAGCAAAATCTTACCTTTGCCACCTGAGTGATCCGAGTCAACATGCAGCATCAAATACATCCCAACTTTCTTATTTTTAAAAATAGGCTCGTTCGAGATGAGCCTAGTCCTGCGGGGAATCGATTACCGGCAATCGGCGCACAATGCATGCCGGTTAGATTTTTGTCCGACTTGATCCCAACTTGCTCTGACATCATGAACACGTGGGCAACATTAACCTCACGAGAGTGAGGCGGCTGCAGTTGCTCTCCAAAGACTGCATGACCAAGGGCATGATGGGAAATGCCTGGCTGTTGCAGGATCAAAGAGCTGATTCGCGCTTAGATTTGACAACAAACACCATGTTTTGTAGAAAATCTTAATTTTATGTGTAATTGTAATATTTAATGCTCGCTTGTTGGCTATTAGTCGCATGTTCTCCGACGAAGGTTTAATCTAAAAACATGTCTTGTGTGATTTATAACAATAAAGATTATTTATAACACATATCAAAGCTAGCAGCAAAGTGTTTCACAGGCAGACATAAAAAGTACAAAAGATAGCAGACAATACACACACATTTCCACATAAATATACACTTACAAACACATATAAATAAATCCGAACTAAATCTGCAAACTACAAGTAGCCTACAGATTGGATCTAACAGGATGTAACTGTTTCTTTGACTTCCTGTATATTCTTTGAAGGCGGATGAAAGCTGTCCAACTTGACCGCAGTGTTTTGTCATTACTATTTGCTCACTTCCTCTTCAGTATTCACAATCGCCACTAGAAGCTGCTAAAGGACATACTAAATAAACCAATGATTCCAATACAGTTACTATGATCAAATGGTTCATCATCTGTAAGGAGAATTAAATGACCCCAACTTCTACTACTCTGGAGTTCAAGAATTGAAATAAACACTGCAACATTTAATCGAAACTAGCTGGTGGTCAAAATCATAGCTGCTAAACATCAGTATACATTATTACAAAATGGAAAGAATACGACACCAAAACAAACCTTAAAGAGAAGGCCGAAACCCAAGGACCAGACAAGGAGGTCCTTAATCAGAGAGGCAATGAAGAGTCCAAAGATG